ATGGATCAGGTGGTACAACTGGTAGTTAAGCCTTTGCGGTCCAACCTGGTGAACCTGCCAATTGATGTGGCTGACGTTTTGTTATCGGGAGGAATCGTGAGTCGAAGAATTTGGAAAAAGCATTTGTGCATGTGGCATTCATTTTGACTAACATTTATTAGACCATCCAGGACGTGGTGGTGGAGCTCCAAGAGGCCAAAGCCCCCAGCTTCTACGTGGGCTGGACTGGTGGTGGTTGCAAAAATGGCACCATTGAAATGGACAGAGACTATGCTGAATCTCTGGGACTTAAACCGCACACTGTGTTGTTGTTGAAATGTCCGGTAACGTTGGAGTTTGCTACTACCGTGGAACTGGAACCGGCTTCTGCAGATGACTGGGAATGGACTGAGACGTATGCCCAGAACATTGAAAATACGTTTTTAAACACCACCCGATGTGTTACGGACGGCTTGAATATCATTGCATTTCCAAATCCTTTGGCAACTGCCAAACTGAAGGTGATAAGCATCACCTCGAAAGGTGGAAAGGTCCGTGCTGCCAAGCTGGTTCAGGATACGGAGTTGCATATTGCCCCAAGAGCGCGCAGAAGACAGAGTGCAAATAGCTCTAATGGATCAGGAAGTCAGCCAAAAACTCGCCAGAGGTCTATCAGTTCTTCTGCCCGGAGATCCCTTCCGCAAAGCGGGGCTTCGTATGGTCTGGCCAGGTCAATACCGTTGCCTCACCCCAAATACAAGGCCCTTTCAAGCGGAACACTCTACGAGATATACGTGAACCGATTGTCATTCCCGAATCTAGGAACGCCCGCTTATGTCCAGGTATCCGTTGTTGCTGGTCCTGGAATGAGTCCTCAGACCGGACTGTTGAACAAAGAGTTGAAGGAACTCATTGCCGGCTCTGGCTCAAAAAATCTAAAACAAAACGGCACAGACGCTTCAGAAACAGCCAAATCGACCGGAACAACATTGGAAACTGGAAAAATCATTGCTCAATTGACTCCCAGCGATCTTATCTCGAAAAACGACGTTGCCGTATCTCGCATGATGGCCATTGCTCTTGGTATCGACAACACAATAGGCGATTTACTACTGTTAGAGCCCTCCAGAATACTCTCGGGTAAAACTCCTTCGACTCTGGTTATCCACAAATACATCACATCTACTCCAGAAAACGGTGCGATCTCTCTGAAGGCAAACCATTCTGCTTTGCGTGTCAAACTCTCGGAGCTCTTGGACTCTATGGGTTTGTTCAGCAGAGCTGTTCTCACCAATGGAATGAAACTCCCTTCTTTGGATGAACATATTCTTCCTCATGGCGGAATTTTGGAGTTCAAAAATTCCAAAGCAGCATGGCTAGCTCCAATGGCTCCTGAAATTTCAAGGACGTTCAAGATTGAGATCGGAGAAGACCTTTTGCGACCCGAGTCGTTTATTCCAGGAAAACCAGACAAGAAACTTGAAAATGATGAGGTTGTTGCGGTGGGCCAATCAGAGCTCATATCGAAAGTTATCAGAACACTTAAAAGGTCCAGCTCTGGTGTGCTTCTACATGGTGCTTCTGGAAGTGGTAAAACGTTGTTGAGCCATGAGATTGCAAAGCAGCTGTATGCCACAGGATACTACATCTCCTTCATTTCATGCGAGAGTCTGCCTGCTGATTTTGCAGCCATCAAAACTATGCTTGAGAAGACGGTCAACGAGGCAACCTGGAGATCGCCCACGTTGTTGGTCTTGGAAAACCTGGACTCGATGTTTCCTGCACAAACTGAACATTCCGACACGGGTGTCTCCACAGTCATATCTGGAAGGTTGGCGAGTATGGTTTCGAGTGCTGTCAGCAGCAAGAAACTGTCGATATTGGCCACTTCTAGATCAAAACAGAGTGTTAACGACATGCTCTTTTCCACCCGAATCCTTGAGGAAGATTTCATCCTGAAGGCTCCTGAAAAGAACTCCAGAAGACAGCTTCTAGAGAGCTACTTGATGTCTCTTGATGTCTCCATCTCCTCAAAATCGGATTTGCTCAAGGACATCGCTATTGAAACAGAGGGTTACTTGGCCGCTGATTTGAGGATTCTCGCTGAAAGAGCACATCACAACTTATTGAATGATATTTATGAGCAGGACTCTGATGTCTATGATTTGGAAATTACAAATGCTCATTTTCAAAAGGCCTTGCAAGGTTACGTTCCGTCTTCTCTAAGAGGGGCTAAGCTTCAGAAGCCTGAGGTGGATTGGCTGGATGTTGGAGGATTACGTGAAGCCAAGTCCATTCTCTTGGAGACCCTGGAATGGCCAACACGGTACGCTCCGATCTTTGCCAATTGTCCACTGAGATTGAGGTCTGGTATTCTGCTATATGGCTATCCTGGTTGTGGTAAAACGCTTCTGGCCTCAGCAATCGCCAGTCAGTGTGGTTTGAATTTCATCTCCATTAAAGGACCAGAGATCCTCAACAAATACATCGGTGCTTCCGAGCAGTCGGTGAGAGAGTTGTTTGAGCGTGCACAGGCTGCGAAACCGTGTATTCTGTTCTTTGATGAGTTTGATTCCATTGCGCCAAAAAGAGGCCATGACTCGACTGGTGTTACTGACCGTGTGGTCAACCAGATGCTGACCCAAATTGATGGAGCGGAAGGTCTTGATGGTGTGTATGTACTGGCCGCGACTTCTCGTCCAGACCTCATCGATAGTGCTCTTTTGAGACCTGGTCGTTTGGACAAGAGTGTGATCTGTGATATGCCAGATGCCGCAGATAGGCTGGATATTCTCAAGAGTGTCACCAGAAACATGACCCTCTCTGCTGATGTCAATCTTGCTGATGTGAGTAAGAGATGCCCAGGTTTCTCGGGTGCTGATTTGCAAGCGTTATCCTACAATGCCTATCTGAGAGCTGTTCATACCAGGTTGGCCCGTTCCGAATTTGTCGGTGATACCAGCAACGAGGCCAATGGAAGCAAAAAGGATATCGAGTTCTTCTCCTTCAGGGAAGACGCAAAATCGAACAGTATATCACTTAAGCCTAAAGAACGGGCTGAGATCTATAAGAGATTACAAAGCCTCACGGAAAACAGTGTGGGTGAGGAGAAGAAAGAGGATTCAAACGGAGATCTTCCATCTAAAGCCATGAACACCATTCATGTCACGAATGCGGACTTTGAATTTTCCTTGAAAGAGACCAAACCAAGTATTTCTGTTAGTGAGCAAAGAAAGCTCCAAGCCATCTACTCCCAGTTCATTAACGGTCGTGATGGCAATATGAAAGACGGATCCGCAAGCAATAAGGTTGGCGCAAGGTCTACGTTGATGTGAAAAACATGCTCCATTGCATTGTATAATGTTCATGATTTAAGTGACACAAATTCTCTGTTCAATGCTTGGAAACGACACCAGCTGCATCGGCACTTTCAAGAATGTACTTCTTGTAGTCCCAAATAGAACCTGGAAACCTCCTAACGGTTCCGTTCTCGCTAACCCAGATCTCCTGGCATACTCTATCAATGATAGAAACATCGTGCGACACCATCAGAATACCACCCTTGAAATTCTTGAGAGCTTCCGTCAAAGCATCCAGACCGGACGTATCCAAGTGGTTGGAAGGCTCGTCAAGAATCAAGATGTGTGGTTCGTTGAGGCATAGCGAGGCAAAGGCAACACGCGACTTTTGACCACCGGAAAGAAGCTGCATTTTCTGTAAACCAAGCGAACCGGTGATACCGAAGGAACCCAGGTGTTTTCTGTATTCTTCGTCAGTCTTGCCAGGATACGTCTGAGACATCCATGTCACGGCGTTGAGGTTCAAGTCCATTGCATCCACGTGGTGCTGTGCGAAGTAACCAATACGCAGTCTAGGGTTTCGCGAGACAGAGCCATCCAGCGGAGTAACGCTTTGCATTAGAACTTTCAGAAGCGTGGTCTTACCACAACCGTTACCACCAACCAGGGCTATACGAGAGTTCATCTGGACGTCCATGTCCACATCCTTCAAAAGAAGTTTCTCAGGAGAGTAGCCGAACGTGACTCCTTGTAACTGCAAGATCGGAGGAGACAGTTTTTCAGGTTCAGGGAATCTGAAAGTTATCACCTTTTCCTCTTCAGGTGCCTCCAGTATCGGCAGTTTCTCTAACTTCTTTATTCTGGACTGCGCCTCGGAGGACTTGGCAGCGTTGTATCTGAACTTGTCAATGAAGACTTGTAAGTGCTTTCTGTAAGCCATCTGGTTGTCATACTCTCTCTTTTGGTTCTTGAGTCTCTCTTCTCTGGTATTGTAGAACGAGTCAAAGTTCGATCCTCTGTAGTAGTCTAGTCTCTCGGAATGCTGGTGGATAATGTCAGTAGCAACTTCGTTCAAGAACGCACGGTCATGCGACACCACCAGGACAGTTGCAGGGTAAGTCTGTAGGTAATTTGCAAGGTAGGTGATAGATGGAACATCCAACATATTGGAAGGCTCATCGAGCAGCAGCAGGTCTGGCTTACAGAACAACGCTCTGGCAAGAGAAAGTCTCATTCTCCAACCACCGGAGAAGTCCTTAGTGGCCTGATGCTGGGACTCCTGGGAGAAACCCAAACCTGATAAAATCGACGCAGCTCTTCCCTCGGCCTTGTCACTCTCCATCTCAGAAAGCTTATTGTGGACTTCCTCCAGATGCGACTCCAAGTCAAGATACTCATTCTCCAGCTTCTTGACCTCTATCGATTCCTCATCGAACTCCTTCTTCAGGTTCTCAATTTCGTCAAGACGCTCGGAGATTTTTCCTTCCTCGCTCAGCAACTGCTTACGCCACACATCAGCGTCCAAAACTGACTGCAGAGCTGGGGTATCGTCACCAACGATCTCCTGCTCAACATGGAGAACCGTGATATGTTTGGGGACATTCAGCTCTCTCTTGGATAGAGCTCTCAGCAAAGTGGATTTACCAATACCATTCTGACCAACCAAACCGTATCTTCTTCCATAAGCCAAAGTAAGGGTGGAATCGGACAAAATTCTCTGGCCTTCACCAACGTAAAGATCGAAGTTTTCCACCTTGATATCCTTGGACTTACCAGCGGCTGAGCCGAATTCGATAGGGTTAACCTTCAAGAAGAAGGACTCGTAATCATCCTGGGTCTGGTTCAAGAGCTTTGAGGCCTCGTATTCAACGTATCTGTTCTGTTTCTTGGCTATCTTTTTGGCAATCTTAGCCTCGGCCTTTTGCAGCTTCTTTAGATCCACACGGGTCTCCATCTTTCTTCCAGTATGGCCGATATCCTTAGTGGATTGAAGCAATGCCATCGAACTGTCTAGATCTCTCTGCTGGTTGTGAATAAGATCAATATCCAGTAGCCTCTTGGAGGTGTCACCTGTGACAGAGTTCTTCGACTGGTTCTCTGCAAGTTTTTTGGTCAAAGAGTCTTGAAGTTTCTGGGTGAAACTGGTCACCTTACCGGTTTCACCACCGGCACTTCTCAGCAGTTCGCTTAAAAAGCTAACCTCTCTTGAAATATCAAGTTGCTGCGCAGAGACTGAGTTTTCAGTAGACTCGGTGATGTGCTGAATGTAGCCAACAGCATAATCCGCCACCACCGGATCGATTGCGGGTGCAGCCTGACGCACTTGTAACCCCAAGTTTGACATCTTTAAAAAAAACAGAAGGTTTTTAACTGTTGGTTTAGAAAGCTGATGGTCTTGAATAGAGAAGGCTTGTTCAACCTGGTGCATTTTTCTAAATCTATAACGAAAAAGACGGTCTTTATATTGGTAATTTACACTACCAAATCGGTGCGGCTGATTCATTGAAGAAAATTCAAAAGGGTTGATATGATAGCTATTTTTGCTGTTATGATTGTTTATTTTCGTATAAAAGTCAAGTATTGTATATCAGCAAATTCAACGTAACCCAAAACCTTCGCTTCCGTGTACCGCAAAGTCCAGCTTGCGGAAGAATGTGTCCTTGTTTTCATAGTCATAGAGGCATAATTCGTTGAAGCATGTATGTGCAATTGGAAGTCTTCCTTGATCTCCACGTATTTTTGTAATTTTGAAGTTTAAAGTTGGTAGTCCTGTTGCTGGTATCCTATCGCTTCCTGTGATAAAAAGTAGCAGTTTTCTCTGACCGAGAGACGATAGGTGCTCGAAATATTCCCAAAACCATTTCACTGGAAAAGAAGAGGCCGCCATTTCCGCGCTTACCCATCCGTTATATTTGGTGACCGACTTCAACACATCAACATCAATCTTGCGACCATCGTTGTTGTCTCCAATTAATATCAATTGGATCTCTTCAGGCGAAAAGAGCGAAAGAGCATTTCCACCTATGACATTTTGAAACCCCTTTGAAAAAGATTCGTAAGATTGTTTCGTGACATCGTTCAAAAAGAACGAAACATACCTCTGAACATACTCATGCTTATTTGAATGCGTGACCTTGATATTTGATCCGTTCTCCTTCAACTCGGCGACTTTGGTCTCGCCAGACAGATCTTTATACGTCACATCGAAGTAGAGCTCGAATTCCTCAATAGGCTCGGTCTGTGACATCTTCAACAGCTTCTTCAAATTCATACCAGCTTCGGGGTCCAACTCTAAGAAGTCGTCGAGACCCACTTTCTTGTTCAGTAACTTCTTGTAGAGGGCTTTGGGTAAGCTCAGATCCAAGATGGTGGAATTGTATATCGCCAAACCCAAAACCACACCGACCAGATAGTAGAGCTCATCTTTGTCAGAATTCGACACGGTAAACCATCCAAGATTGGACTTTTCATTGTATGCAAACATGCCCTTATCAGGATGGAAAAGCTCCTTCGTAAGAATTAAAAACCATTCTTTCTTCAGGCCTCCAGCATCAACCCCTGGTTCCTCCACAAACTCAACTCTCAGAAGTTTCTTGAGATCATTGGGATGGCTTTTAATACTGCGTATAGAGTCTGCAGTGATATGATCTCTTCTAACCCTCACCCTGAAGTATACATCAATGGGGACCTTCTTATTGATGGAATGAATAAAAGCCTCCTCCGCTTTCCGCTCCATCTGTCTCTTGGCCTCATACTCGAGAATAGAAATTTTAGCCCCAAGAGACAGCAAAAAGGGGAATTGACAAAATGTGAATCTGGCTTTCTTAGAGTTTCCACCTCCTATCGGAGTCGAAATCCCGAGGTACGATGTGGACGATTCGGATTGTAGGTACTCAATCACACTTTGCAAAGAAGTGTCCGCATTTGAAGAATCAACCTTTCCAGCTGTTCCACTGTTGAATTGCCAGGCGTCAAAGTCTTGCTTGACGTTCACATAATCCACCAAACTGTTGTAAAAGTTAGACGTGCTTACCTTTGGAAGATTCTTATTGCCACGGGTGTTAGCTGAAAATAGCAACGCCAACACTCTCCCTGCAGTTCTCAGATGCCACACACTGCTGTACTGGGCCAATCTGATCTTGATTTCTCCATCTTTGCCTTTCAGATTTATGCGGCGGCCAGAAGGGGACATAGGCAGGGCCGCATGCAACGGCTTCAAAGCCTCAAGATTCCTCATGGGGGATCCGTTCATTGCAGATTTGTAGTTCACATCATCAACAACATCTGCCGAGTACTGAGTCCCCTTTTTGTCCTTTGGATGAAGATCATACATGTCGTAGTTCACCAGTCTTGTGAGCTGGAAGGTGATGTAGAGGTTGGAGAAATCGACTTTTTTCACGAACTCATCGTGAGGTAGACGCGACCACCAATGGCACAGGTATTGGGATGGTCGCTTCTCCAAATGAGCCAAAAGCCCAATGATCCGTTTGAGGATTTCATACGCTACCACACGGATCTCACTCGGCAATACCGGAGCATCGACATTGCTCTGAACCAGAGAGTCGGACAGCAGAGGGATTTCCAACAGTATAAGAAGCCATCTGAGAGAAGCAGGGTCTCCCAAATCTGGTGGGTGTCTCAGTAGATCCAAAGCTCCAAGAAGAACCTTGAAGTATGGCCTTACTGTCGGTAGCGTTGACAAAAGGTTAAACACCTTTCTGGCTTCATCGAACTTTATGTTTGGGGAATGATACGAGACACCAGCTTGTGTTCTATCAACTCTGAAAGAATTGTTCAAGCACTTAAATGACTTGAACGAATTTTGAAGCGCCAATTCCATTGGCTGGAAAACCGCATGTGGAGTCCCGTTCTTTGGACCCGAGTCGGTTTTTGTAGAGTGTCTGCACTGGGCAATCAGTTCCTTGACCATTGCGTACGATACATAGCTCTGGGGTAACTCTTGTTCTGTTTCCTCTTCAATACCAACCCCAGTGGGCCTTCTTTTGTCCCGAACAGTCATCGTTGTTTGACAAACCATACATTTGATTCGGCACACCTCCGTAGGGTACTTGATGATCGTTCCGCAACACTTGCACGAGTCCAATATAGTCCCCGAAGCGCTAGAACTAGCAGAGCATCGAGATTGTGATCCTGGACTAGCATTTGTACCGACACTAGCCAAGGGCACACTGTCCCCTCCGTTAAGCGCGGTTTCAAGAGAGTCGCGGCAGAGCTCAACAGGCGCCGGGCTTTGGCGCGGTGTTTGTGACTGAGTGGTAGATATGGACCTCTTGATGAACTTGAGAAGCCATGTCTGTTGTGGTTGCTGGACTGGAGACGAAGTTGAAGAAAGCGAGGATGTTTCTGAAAGCGGCATCACTAGAGGCACAAGCGAAGCGCTTAGTAGGTGCTATCAGCACTCAATGGGAATGTGAAAGAAATAAAAGATCAGGGACGAGTATTTGGCCAAGAACAAAAACTTGGTCTTTTGATTTATTTTGCGTGTCAAATATTTGGAATGAAGGATGGAAGTCGGAAGGAAGAAAGAAAGAGAGCTAAGCGATCTGTTATGACATATGTTACAACAAGACACAATGCAGTGCCGCAATGAGCTTAAATAGGGCTAAAAGTAGAATGTGTGGACCCCAAACCGAAATGGGATTTTGGGCCAATTTCAGCCAAATTGTGGGATTCTCTGGTACAACTAAAATTTCTTTTCGCAAACTAAGATATATTGGGTAAAATATTACATTATACACAGATGTGGAGTGGGATCCTTCTGGAACCCTGGTGGGAAGCCTTGACGGAAGCCATAATGGAACGCTCTAACATATCAACACTTCAACACCAGTAAAACACGCCTCAACCACGTTTAGATCAACAAAGTCTCGATCTTGTCCTTGATGGCATAGACCTGGTTCTTGATGGTGGAGGCATCGTTAGAGGTGACCGAGGCAGCAATGACTGGTCTGGATACTCCACAGGCTCTACCCAAGGCGGTCTTGGATGGGACGAAAACGTATGGAACGTTCTTGTCCTCACAGAGAAGTGGCAAGTGCAACAAGATTTCGATTGGCTCGGTGTCGGCTGCCATGATGATGAACTCGGAGATACCTCTGTTCAGAGTCTTGGTGGTCTCGTTGGCACCCTTCTTGAGCTGTCTCAGGTTTTGGGCCTGTTGGACAACGTCCAGGATTTGCTGCGAAAGAGCAGAGTCAGCCAAAGGGAAAGCCTTTGGGTTTGGAGCAGACATTATAATGTTGGTTTGAAAAGTAAAATTCACGAAAATTCAAAGGTTCCTTGCAAAACAGCTCGCCCTTGGGTTGTAAGAGAAAGAGACAATCAGCTGTGAATTTTTTTCTTTCATACAAAAATTTCGATGTCAAAAATGGGTTGTGCACTATCCTTTGTCGTGTGCAGCAAAAATGTAATAGATAGTCGTGTCTCAACATTACAGTCCCATGTTTACGCAGGCATATCGGTTAACGTGGGCACGGCACTGGCTGTCAGGATTCCAAGGAGAAATGCAGCCAGCTAGGAGGCCAAGCCAACCACCAGAACGTAATCTACAACTACGTCTATTAGTGTCAATTGATACAGTTACCAGTTGTTCCTCGCTTCATTGTCTAACAGTGTTAAAATCGCCTTCTACAATGTCTGATCTTTGGTAAGTTTTTGCTCGTTATTCAGTTAGGACGTTGTTCATGGACACGCACTTGGTTTGGCATAAGTTCAACAAGCCTGTGATTGTCATGATCGGTTGGCATTTATTTAATCCATCCTTGATCTGCAATATATTGAGATATCCAGATTTCGTGACAAGATATGCTAGTCAATTGGCGTCTCCAAAGCTGATATTTCTAGTGTTGCTCTACCACGAGATGTCGATCTCCCTGGCTGCGTCTATGGTCAAGCTGTCCTATTAGCCAATGTCATTGAATACAGCTACTAACTTTTTTGAATATAGCCCTGTCTATGCAGTATGTCCCTAAATTTTTGCTGACTTTGTCTTTGGAGAGACGTGGAACTGGATCGGTGTTGGTCCCAGTTTTGGCATCTGACCAGGTCCCGCTCATGCGCCATTGCCAAGTTTAACAATTGCTCCCGATACTAACCCCTCCAGCCATTCTTTGGTTCAATTGGTTGTGCTGCTGCAATCATCTTCACTTGTTTCGGTGCCTCGTACGGTACTGCTAAGTCCGGTGTCGGTATCTGTGCTACTTGTGTCCTGAGACCAGATCTCTTGATCAAGAACACTGTCCCTGTCATTATGGCTGGTATTATTGCCATTTACGGACTGGTGGTCTCAGTTCTGATTTCATCCTCCCTTAAGCAGCAACAGGCTCTTTACACAGGATTCATCCAATTGGGTGCTGGTCTGGCCGTTGGTCTGTCTGGTTTGGCTGCCGGTTTCGCCATTGGTATCGTTGGTGATGCCGGTGTCAGAGGAACTGCTCAACAACCAAGATTGTTCGTTGGTATGATTCTGATTCTGATTTTCGCCGAAGTGTTGGGTCTGTATGGTCTCATTGTTGCCCTGCTGTTGAACTCTCGTGCAACCCAAGACGTGACCTGTTAGGTGCAAAAACTGAACAAAATGAACATAAAACAGAAAAACGCCGGGGCGATTGCATCCTAGTTCGATAGGGTGTGGAACATTTCGAAACAGACGAACAAACGAACGAATCATCTTCACTTTACAATTGGCTGCATGTTTAGTTTTCGAAGTTGCAGGGATGTTTTCCATCATAGAATAAGAAGATGAGGGGATTCCAGATTTTATTAATAGGGGAGATACTCTCATTTTAACTCGGTCGTAGACACGGTGTAGTCACCTTCCAGCAGCATCATTGTAGAAACAAATGACCCTCTTCCATGGCGATGCTCTTTCTCAACAAGGTGATAAGACTCTTCACATCACGGGGAACCGTTATGTTCAGCTTCCTGGCCTGTGTACGCCAGTCAGAGGGGTTGGACAAGGCCCTTTCTATCGCCCTTTGCGACACTGCAATCTCAAACAGCTCCCTGCTCTTTTCAATAACAGTTTCCAAGAACGGCTCCTTCTGGTGCATCTTCTCGTCAAATCCGTTGAGCAGCTCGATTATTATTATCAGCTGTTCCGGGCTGAATACACGGCGCAACACTTCTGATTGATTTCCCTTAGAAGAATATCCCAGGAACGGAACAAACTGTGCAAGCAGCAATGGAGTGCAATGCTGCTGCATGTAAGGGAATCTTATCAGAGACACAAGCTTGCCGATCGCCAGCTCGATCTCTCCCTGATTTTTCAGATCGTAGAATTGAGCCAAAACTGCGTATGGAGAGATGCACTGTCTCAAAACAGGATGCACCTCAATGCTTGGATTATCAATCAGCTGCTCGAGTGAACGATCATTAACCTTCGTGCCAAGCACCAACGCACTCTCAAATAACTCCCAGGATTTGCGCGCAGTGATCCCAATATCGCCTGACAGACTGAACATGTTCAAGCTCTCAAGTAACCAACCCTCATCCTTCAAGATCTGGCCCTGTTGCTTGTAGAGCTGGGCAGATGTGGCAGAGAGTCTCAGCTCCGAGCAAATAGCAAGACAGTACTCAAACTCATCGGTGTTGGCACAGTACCATCTTGGGAGAATCTCTGCAATTATCTGTCTGGCATCTGGTTCGTTCATCTTCCATAAAATACCGATTCCAACGGGTATCAGCTTTTGAGTGCTGAAGTAGGACAGAGCCAGATTCTTGAGCATAGAGTCGGTATTTTCCAAAAACCGTTTGTTATAGGCATTGTTTCCATCACCTAGTAGCTCTAGATATTCCTCAAATAATCCACCGGCTTCACACAGAACGGAGAGATATGTGGCTGTACATTTCTCTTGGGGCTCTAGCTCACTGATGACACTCAAAATATTTCCTTCCAGTAAGTTGATGCAAGCAGCCTCCCATGTAAAACTTGTAGGATCAGAGTATATCTGCGTCTTGTACTCCCTGAAGAATTCCTGTATGACCGTAGGGTCAGGGAGAACAAACAGATAATGAGCAACCAGTGCCTCGTACCATGCACGGGTATTTTCTCTTATCACTCCAGGAGAACCCGAAGCTATGGCCAGTAATATCTCTAATTGTCTTGCAACCCCAAAATACTGGTATTTAGGATCAGACTCGATCTTTCCAAACTTATCACGTAGCTGACACATGGACTGCTTCCACTCCAGAAACGCATCCTGATCGATCGCAAAACCGACAGAATCGTAACTAGACAAAAGAGTACAGAAATCGCTTATAAACAGGAAGAGATTGGGATCACTTGATTCCAGAGTCTCATAGCCGGAATTTCCAATAACTGTGACTGCTTCATCGAATAGTCCTCTCATCACGAGTCTTTGAACCAGCGAACTCCAGAATAGGATGTTGCTGAACCCATCGCTCTCCGACAAAAACTCATTTTCTAACTCTTCAAATGGCAGCAAATCGGCTCTGTTCACCCAATTACACAGCAATCCGATTCTCTCTTCCCTACGGCTGAAGTTGAGTGATCTGAAAAGGTTCAGCACGGTAATAGCAGTTTCAAATCCCCGTGCTTCGGACTCATCGACTTCGTCCGCGTCCAAGGTAGTGACTATCAGTCTTTGAAGATCCGTGATCAAAGAGATCAGGTGTCTGTCAAGCGTTTCGGCTTTAGTCCTCTTCATCTCCTTCAAGAGACTGGGTACACCAACTTCCAGATCTGAGCTCATGGACTTGTACTTCTTGTTCTTAAGAATGTCCTCAAAATTCTTGAAGCAATCCTCTGAATATCTGTTGTATGCTTCAGAGTTTACCGAACCTGGGACTTGAAAAGGGTATATATGTGTGTTGATGTTTTCAGGCTTCTCACCGTCGATGGATGAGAGATAAACAGCTCCGCGATTGTCCATGGGAGAGAGAGCAAACTTTAGCGAAATTCCATTTTTGGATATCGGTATCCTCCCCTCTCCAGAAGCAATTGGTCCATCCTTAAGTCGTATGATTGGGGCGTTTGTGTTCGAGTCGTACTCCATCTCGTCTTCATATTCGTCTGGAATCTCGATATCCGACAACTCTTCATCTTCGGGCTCCAAGTATTTGTTCGAGGATGACACCGTCGAGGAATGCCCAAATTCAAGCGTCATGGCAAATCGGAATCCTGAAAAATGTATGCGACGGAACGTTGAAGCTTATTAGACAAGCAACAACATGTTTGGGTTAGCTTTGGTTTCACTCTCAAAAACCATTCAACCAAAACAAATCGAGTATCGCACGTCTATTGTGCGGCTCAGCGTGTTGAAGCTGTTTAGCTGCTTTGAAATAATGATTAGAACGAATATAAATACTTTTAGAGTATCCGAGATATTTTTTCAACTTACTTCCGAGTTTTTCTATCAAAATAATTCTGTTTTGGGCAGCTTCAACCCATTTCATTGGTGGCTTGTCTGACCTACTAGAGATCCTGCCATGCACTACAAAAAAAAATTGAAGCCCAAGAGAACAAGACATTAGGTTTCTTCCTAGCATCGTTTCCGCCCCACAACAAGAAATGCCTGATAAATGGCCTGATGGTTATAGTGCTGAGAGTGCTACAAGGTATTTACGCTCAAAGGATATCACACCCCAAGGTTTAGCAAACTTTTCTGAGGTATTCACCAGTCATGACTTCTCGGAGAAGGTGTATTTACCCAACCGGAATGAGTTTCTCTACGAATTGCTTCTGGAAAGAATGAGCAATCTCAAAAACAGAGATTTCAGAACAAATGAAACTCTTTGGAAAGTGCTGATACGATGCTTTCGAGACCTCGTTGAAGCGAAAGCACATCGTGTTGTAAGATCCGTCAAGTATACAGAGATAATAGTCGAGACAGCCAAGGAGATAGCTTGGGATGAAACTTTGCAGTCAGAAGGTCTAATTTCATCATTTGTTGAATCTGTTAATCTAGGGTTGGAATATTCCTGTTTGCAACTTGGTGGTGACCAAAGCGTGGGTCTTCTCTCGAACATGTTGAAGTGCTCTATCGCTTTGTTTGAAAGGTCTTCTGCAGATACAGCGAGGAGTATATTGACAAGTGCTATTGAGCTTTATCATCTCTCGAACGGAGCTGTTTCCGGCTTTGGTCGAAAGACGCTGGAGTTGTTTTTGAAACAGTGTCTGCAAAGCATATTGAAGTTGTGGGAGAAAGATATAGGACAGCCTCTACAAGACTCACTCGACGAAGTTGTTCTGAAAACGGTTTACTGCCTTGATTTACGTGACAAACTCGCTACTAATCTGACACATTTGGCTGGTTCTGATGTCGCGATTACCCATCTGTTTGAGATTGGTTTGGACCATTCTGATGTGGAGACCTCAGAGAAACTATACACAGCCTTTGCTGCAACTTTCCCTGCCAGTTCATGTGTGTTTCTGCAAATAATATGCGATAGAAGTCTCATCTTTTCCGCAAATTTTCTTCCCTCGATCATTGAGTCGTTCTTGGAAAATTCCACTTCTAACTGTGAGGGGATAAGAGTCTGCCTTCAGAAGTCTCCCGAGCTGGCTCCCACCTATGCCAGCCAGATACTTGCCCTTGTTGGTAAAAATGGTACCGAAGTATCTGAGGAGCTGTGTCAGACGATATTAAGTCTTATTCTGAAGGGATATGCTGTTTCTAGGCAGTTCACGTCATTTCTGGACCTTTGGTCCATAGCCCTTGGGTCTTCGGAGACCGCTGACTTGGTCGAGAAGGTGATATCTGGAGATGAATTTGTGCGAATTATCGGAAACGAGTTAGTTCTGTTGTCCTTGACACAGTTGAGATCTTTGCTAAGAGGTTTGAAACTGAGTATAGACATAAACGGACCTTCCAGGGCCAATCAACTTCCAATCAGAGCGTTGATGGAGGGATTTGTGCCTTCTGTTTCAGGCTGTTTGGATCTCACCAAAGAGAAGATGGTTAACAGCCACATCGATCTACTTGCAAATGATTTGAAATTCATTCTTGAAGTTGACAGTGGGTCTGATGATCTGTGGAGAACCAAGTATCTGTTTTTGACTGTCTACGACTTTACGACGATGATACCTCACTGGGAAGCAGCGGTCAAAGTTATGCTGAAGTCCAAAGCCAAATGTGAACATTTCTTCTACTGTATGTTCAGAATCAGAGAGGAAGTCGAATATGATATTGGCAAGCTGTTCTCCAAATACCTCAAATTTTTGACGTCTGAGACTGACAATCATAGTTTGATAAATGTGGCCATCAATAGGTGGATTGTGGTATTTGACCAACTCATGTCTGATGATGAGTTGGAAAAGTTTGTGGCAATAGTTTTTAAGTCCAAAATCAACCTATCTTCGATATTCGAGAACCCTTTGGCTCTGGAGCTTCCTCGCCTGAGCTCGCGGATCATCTCCAATATCATCAAGTTGGCAGGTGATGCTAGCAAGTCTGAGCAGGTACTTGGCCTGATTGATCTAATTCCTCTGGACGGTTATTTCAGGAGGCAGAGAGAAAGTCTCATCAATGCGTTGTCTGAGTTATCTATCTCTATCGGAGTGGCTCGGTCGATAGACAGGCTACTGCAAATTCCAACTTTCCGTTCCAAGATCGAGGCTGACGTGAATGAAATACTTCGTATTGTGTCCGCTGCTGAGTCCAGCTCCAAGAAAATAGTTCTCGCAGTTTTCGAAAAAATATGGACTCATCATTGCAGACAATCTACAGAGGCTCAGAGTCAGTTGTATATCACAAAAATGTTTGAGACCCTTGAGGAAGGACTGGCAAAGCAAAAGAAGAAAAAAATTCTTGCGGTCGGCTCTTCTTCGCTTGCTGAGGTGACACTTGTGGTCATCAGCAAAAGCGCAATGTTGGGAACTTCGTATTCCTCGGAATTGACGAGAGTGTCCAAGGTGATGTTTGACGCAATTGGGTCTCAGCTGCATAAGCCAGAAAAACTCACAGAGGAGCAAGTAGTGTGGCTTTTAAGCTCCTTATTCTTGTTTTCAGAGGAGCCGGATTTTCCAGAGGTTGCAGGCACGGTCACAAACAGTCTGGTCAAGAAAACAGAGCTCACCTTCAATATCAAGAAAAAGCTGTTTGCTATACACTCTGTATCTGCGAGTACCAAACATCTCATGGCGATGTTTCTTGCGCTGGGTGAAGAATCAGACAGTTTGGACGAGGACCTGGGCGTTTCCTTGAGCGGTCATCTTACTCGTCTCTCTGCTCAGTCTCATTTGAAGGCTTTCAATTATCTGGTTCACTCTTTGCAGGACGTGCAGACTGAAGATTTGGCGAACTACGTCAGTTTGGTGGTTGCTTTCTGGTCTACAGCACATAAAGCTGATGCCGTTAATGAATACCACGGATTAGTTGCACAGTCTCTCTCTACTCTCATTCCAGCCCTTGATCAAATGTCAGGCCATGTTGTTCTCAAACTTTTGGAAGGTTTGAAAACGCTTACGTCTAGCAGGACCTGGTTGGTTGCACAGTACTCTCTGGAGCTTATACTCGCAGCATCGTTCAAAGTTGGCATTTCGCTAGAGCTTTATGGCCATTTACATGCAGAAATCATCTATTTGGCGCTTACTCAGGTTTTGTCCAACGTGTTTCTGTTCAACAGATTCCGTCTATCTAACCGATACCATGTGGTTGTGGCGTCTCTTCGCCCGCTACTCAAGCCACTGTTCTATTCCAAAGACTCCACACATATCAGCGTTGCATTCTCAAAAAAATGCGCCCTTGCTTTTCAGAGACTTGTTTCGAACCTCTGTGAGCCTCCATCGAATAGCAACTTTCCTCGCCAGAACGGCACACAATCCTCTCTCAGTGCTCCAGCAACCGTGATGAAGGGTGTTTTGAGAAACCACTTGCCTATTTTCCTGTTGAACTATATTCACCTTACTACTACCCGCTCTGTTAGCAAGCAGGTGAAAGACCAGCTGGAGGCTTCCATGTATGTGGTGCTTGACGTATTATCGCCCAATGAACTGATCCTCGTCAGTGCATCTTTAGACTCAGCAGGCAGATCAACTTTTAGAGGTTTGACTGAAAATTACAGGAAGTTTGGAAAATGGAAGGACGAATGATTGGTGTGTGGATTAGTGTAATATTTCATTCAGATAGTATAATAGAAAAAGCTAGATTTCGAAAATTCCGCATATACTGCATGAACGCATCGTGAAAAGTTTCGCGTGTGGGAAATAACGCGTTAGGCATCGCAGGGCATCGCGCTTCATAACTTTTTTAACCGTGTTCGATCTTGTTAATGATTCCTCCTTCATCAGTCATACAAAAACGTGCTAATTACACTGCAAATGTCCATCGAGTTAAACAATGAATCGGAGAATACGGCACAATTTTTGATAAGCGTCTTCAAGGCGCTGGAAACGCTGGTGCGACTGCATTTGCAGGATCATCGTTCCCAGCCTCCATTGCATGACTTACTGAACAAGGTCACTCTGGCAATCCAAAGCAAGGTGGAACTTGTCCATGTGTATCAAATATGTACTGTGTATCCTGAGTCCTTCATCGTGAGTCAGACGGGTGATCGTGATCTAGTGTTAGAGCTGGGTGCGGAAAAGACAGGAGTCACTCAGCGAATCGCAACCTTTGAGAGGAAAGTGCGCGAATATATGGCCTCCAATCCTGGTCAGGATATCCAACTAAAGAAACGCGTAGTGAAAAAGGAGGCGTCACCGAAAAAAATAGCTGCCAGCAAAGTTCTCAAAGGCTCCTCGGATAAGAACAGTTTCAAGGAGAAAAGGGCAACCTCCGGGAAATCACTACTGGAAAGAATACGGGCTAAGGAAGAATCCTCTAAAAAACAGGGCTTGGACCCAGCATCTTTGAAAATACAACATAGGAAGCTCTATATTTCTGGCAAATTAGAGGCGGTATACGGCATACTATACGATCTCTCTCCCAAGCGCATTTCAGATACAGAGCTGGCCGTGACCAGTCATTCTCTGGGGAGTCTCATCACCACAGTCCAGAACAGTTTTGCTTCGCCTATGGCAGCAGTGGACATTGAAGCCTCAATCCATGAACTCGCCAAAGTGCTGAATGATCCAAGCAAAGTGAAGGTAGTTAAAAGTGGAGATGTCAGCATTGTGAGGCTGGGAGCTTTGGAGCGCACAAAAGATCTTGAGCTGTTAACGAGTAACTAATGAGAACGAGCTCAACTGGTTGATCTGCGCAATGTACGACAAATTAGGTGAAATGATAATTTTGAATTGATATACAAATGGTCTCACGAGTGACCGTTCACACAGACAATTGCCCGATCTGCAGCTTTCACAGCTGCCAATTCCAGTGAGTTGGTGGCCTTTTTTCACAATCAACTATTCATCTACCTTTTTTTGATGAATATTGTTTTGTGTAATTAGTATATATAAATGGCTCACAATCTATTCACATTTCACATCCTAAGCTCTCAGCTCTAAGTCTCAATTGCAATAACATCGTCATCGTGGATGGCGATGTCAGCCGTCTTGAAATCGGCGTAGAAGTACTTGAGAAACAATTCAATTCCCCATGCGAGGACAAAGTCCAACAGGATAGACGCAGTCAGCTTGAACTTGAAGGTTTCAGTCATCTTGACAAATTGCATGGCCTCGTTCATTTCTGGCAAGAACTCAGTGGCACCTGCAAGGGCCAAGAAAGAGACACCCAGCAAACCATAGTACATACCCTTATTTTCTCTGATGGACTCACGGAATGGTCTTCCTTGGTAGTTCACAGCAAAAGTAGACACCTGTTGAGCCAGCTGGAGCAAGAACATGGCAGTGTTGAGCAACGATGGCTGGAACTCTTTCTCCAAGTCGATCTGAGGCTCTCTTGGTTCCAAGATGTAAACTTCCTTGGTGATGTAAATCAGCGTCGTCAGATGAATGGCAAATTGTCCCAAGATCGATCCCATGATATAGATGTTGAAGATACCAGGCTGTGGTCTCTGTTTAGAGAGTTTCTCAATTGGCTTACCACGAGAAATGGACAGGAAACAAACACTGAGCAGAAGACCAGAGACGGTAGCCTGACCGTCTCCAAACTTGATACCAGCAAGGTACAAGACAGACAAGGAGTAAGCCGAAATCAAACAATTCAATGCCAGAATCTTGTACATTTGAATGGTAGACACAAGAGCACAACGACCTTGACGAATGATGTGAGTGACTGCAGAGACATTGGCTAACTTGGAAGTGAAAGGCGCAGCAACGGAAGCATCACCCAGCTTTAAAGTGGGGGCTTCCTCGCTGTCCTCGTTTTCCTCTTGCAAAGTGTTCATGAACTTGTCAGCCAAATCAGAAGCACCCTGGTCTTTGTGGGTGAGCTTGGCAGTGGAGTTGGCAAGAGCAACAGCCTTGCGCATCTCATCCGTAATCTGCAATCCTTGCTTTTCCATGGCTTGCAAGTAATTAGGATTGAGAGGTCCGGGAGGATACAAGTGTGCAATAACTGGTGGAACCCTTGGTGGAGGTCTGTTCCATCTGGCCATAAGCTCCACTTGCTTCTCATACACCTTTTTGGTGGCATCGATTTTTCTGTCCTCACTAATTTTCTTCATACCGTCCTCGGTACCGTTCAGCAAAGCAACACCGATGTGGGCCTGTTTCAAAGCACCAACATCGTTTGTACCGTCACCGCACATCAAGGTCTTGTATCCAAGCTCTTTCAAGGAGTTCAGAATGAACTCCTTCTGGGAGGGTGAAACACGGGCATAGACCCAAGTGTGCCTAATGAGCTTGAGCAATTGTTCATGCGCCGAGAGTTTGGCAAGTGCATAACCAGTCACACAGATGTCAAATTCGTGGAATAACTTCTCGTCAATAGAGTCGGAAACGTTGAATGGAATAATCTTTGTCTCCTCAACATTTCTCCAGACAAGATCATGACTACCGTGGTGTCCCTCTGGCAAGTCCAAGATCAACACCTCCTTGTTGACAATCTTGACAGCCTTGGCAACGTGAACAGCAGTCAATGGGTTATCACCAGTGATCATCACACATCTGTGACTGGACTCGTTCAGCATTTTGACAGTTTCAATGGCATCGCTCTTCATTGGACAGTGGAAGATGATAAATCCTCCGAAAAGAAGCTTGCTTTCAACATTTTCTCTCGTAAGCTTGGTGACCTTAGAGTGAGAGATGTTGTCTTCCATGTACTTGTAGGCCAGAGCTAAGACTCTAGATCCAGATCTGGTGAAAGATTTATAAACCTCCTCGTAGTTGGCAGGGGCATCGGTGACCATCTCTTTGATCGTCTCAGGAGCACCTTTGACAGCGACGAGAGTTTTTCCATGGGCATTTGCAATAGAACTGGATCTCTTCAAAGCAGAAGAGAACTGGAATCTTCTCAAAATCTTAATTTTGGTGCTGGCACCCTTAATATTGCGTTCAACGGTGTCACTGGCACCAACCTTCCATTTGGCAGCCTTCAAAGTGGCCTTCTCCATTGGATCACCAACGACCTCTCCATCGTCAAGTTTAACCAGGGCATGAGCAGCACCGAGAACATCGACTGTGACACTTGGAACTTCTTCGCACGAAGAAAGGTATCTGACATCGTTCTCTTTGAATCCAGCAAGACCTTCAAACACCAGGTCCTCACCAGTGAGGGTACCGGTCTTGTCGAAACAACAGACATCGATTCTACCGGCAACAGGGATTCTAAAAGGCTCAGTGCAGTAGATAAAATGCTTACCAAGAGCAGACAGCGACGAATTAACGGCCATGGTGAGCTCCATGGGCAATTCTGGCGGGACAACGGAGGTGATCACAATGATACAGTCCAGAATAAGCTTGGACTGAACACGGCCCATCTTAGTACCTTCCACCCAGACGTACCAAGAGGCAATGATGGCAAATACAAGCAGGAACAGAATAAAAAAGAATGCCTCCTTATTGGCAACACTCATTCTTTCACTTGAGAAAATCATCACACGAACCAGAGAACCTTGAGAAGTTTCAAATCCGGTTTTTGCGACAATGGCAAGAGCACCCTTGTCTGGAGCAAGATTCAAAATTGGGTCAGTAGGAGCAGTCACTTGCAAACAGGAAGTTCCTCCATGAACAACAGAGTTCTTATCCAAACCATCCGGTTGATAGTTGTCTTCAGATGGTCTGAGCTTGATAGACTCCTTCAATAAGGGAGTAGATTCACCAGAAAGCATGGCCTCGTTCATAATACAAGAACCATCGACCAGTACCAGATCACAAGGAATCGCCAATTCATCCTGTGTTCTAGTGACAGAGACGAGATCACCAGGAAGAAGCTCGTCAGTCTGGATCTGCTTCCATTTACCACCACGGTGGACGTAGATAGGATATGGCTTGATACCCATACTTTGAAACTCAGTCATGGTGGTTCTTCTCTGGTAAACAGAAGAACACTCAAAAGTCACCAACATAAAGAGAGAGAAGAGAGAAAGGTACCACATCTCATCCATACACCAAAGCGCAACGGAGAAGAGCTGGAAGACGAAGAATGGTGCAACAGCATGTTCCTTAAACAATTCCAAAAATGTAGGAATTGGAATATCAAACTTGTTCTTTCCATAAAGTCTCTCAAGATCTGTGAGATCACCACTAAGACCTTTCGAATACTGAAATACCTTGAGCTGAGGCTTGGAGTCCACCAGGAACTCAGGAGGTGCAAAACGTTGAACCTCACTGTGCCACAAATAACGTCTCTTTTGGTACAAAAACGATATTTGCAGTTCACCATGCGATCTTTCTCTTAAGATCAGACAAATGTCACTGAGACCACAATTTGGGGCCGCAGTCACCTTAATAAAGGAAGCTTCTTCCAACGTTTTGACTGGCTCGTAGTTGAAGCTCTCCTTAATGTTCATATTCCATTCAGGCATGAGCATCAATACCGCATGGATAGAAATTAATGTGACAGAGAAGACAAAAGTCCATTCTCTACCACCAATGTACTTATCGTAATGATTCAAATAGACATTGAAACAGGCTGGGTACACCAGCAAAAAGGGCCACACATAAGGCCTGGAAATTGCAGGCTTAGGGCGCAGCAACTGGGCATCCTGGATAGACGGGTTGTTGACTAGCTCGGACACCATTTTGAGCAAATTGGCGGGCTGGAAGCGTGATGAAGCCTTAAATCTCTGGAAAGTTCGCTTGACTGGAGAAGTCCGTCGAAATTGGACGGAGGCGCCAGCACGGTCTTATCACGGGGGGGGCGAAGGTCGTGCTAGAATTTACTCAAAATGTGTGGTAGACGACCAATTTGGCCGGGTGATTTCTCCACTAAATGGCTCTAATAACATTTAATTTAAGCAGATTTAATTTCTGCTGGACTAAATATATCTAAATATAAAATAAAACCACCATTTATCAACCTTTTGGCTTGCTTTTGTGCTGCCACAAACTACCAGACTATTGAAGTGCGCCAACCGTTTATAATCTAGCACGACTTCAGAGCCTTATCACAGACTATCCCCCCAGCTAAATTACGCCAGAAACGATTGCTTGGTTCATATTTTTTCCAGCTTTTGGTCTAGGCAAGCATATAAATTTTTGGCCTTCCATGAGATTCAAGTCCCAACTTTGATAGTTGAATAATTATAGAGCGTAGACCACTGTTCTTAACTAGCGAGTGCACTTCACATCGATCTGAGTGGGACACGCTATCGTCTACTAACGTGTCAGTATCTTCAATGGAGACGTCACCTTTCACTCACTGAAAAATCACCCAGCCTACGCGAAGAAATGGATTTAAAAGGGAAGAAGGAAGAATTTGTGAGTGGATTGACTGGTGGCTCGACTCTGGAGATCTACACGGTCACCTCAGTCTCGCTGGTAAGTGGTGTTCCAAATGGCAAATCGAAAGCCCCACGACACTAACGTTGAAACCAGGTCTGCTATGTTGCTTGGAGCATTCTCAAAAAGAAAACAAGTCTTTTCGATACGCAATCTTTTGCTGCACTGCTGGTAGATTATTTCCTCAGTTGGTTTGGTCTTTTGTTATCGGTTACGCTATACTGTAACCGAACATCATTCCTTGTTGCTCTCATTCTAGGACCTGTGATTCCACTTATATTCAAAAGATCAAAGCCTCAGGTGAAAAAACAGGTACACATAAACGTGAGCACACTGACCAAAAAACAGTATCTTCCATACAAACCTTATCTGACGGTTTATAGGTCACAGATGATGGTGATCACGTGTATAGCTATTTTGGCAGTGGACTTTCCCGTCTTTCCACGCAGGTTTGCGAAGGTTGAGACGTGGGGAACGAGTCTAATGGATCTTGGAGTTGGATCATTTGTATTTTCTATGGGAATGGTCAGTGAAAGGCCCGTTCTTGTTCAAAAATTCAACACCATTAGTGGGTCAGGCTTGAGACCGGTGTCTGCTGTGAAATCGTACATATCCTATGTTGGCCGCTCTATATTTGCTGTGATTCCGCTCATAATTCTGGGAGGAATAAGATTGTTGAGTGTGAAGTCCCTCGAATACCAGGAACATGTCACAGAATACGGAAAGCATTGGAACTTCTTTATAACCCTGGCAGCTTTGCCCGTGCTCTCAGCACTGGCATCTCCATTGCTCAAACTGGTTCCAACATTGTTGCTGAGCATCGCCTTTTCTGTGGTGTACGAAGTATTTTTGGTAAAGTACGGATGGTTAAGTTACGTTCTTTCTGCGGAAAGAATCGATCTTATCAGCGATAACAAGGAGGGCATTTTCAGCATGTTTGGCTACTTCTCCATCTTCTTGACTGGCCAAAGCACTGGCACTTTCCTGCTTCCCTTGTTCCCCACTCCGGGTAACTTGTTCGGTGCTTCTTCTAAGGACGATATTCTTCGCAATTATAGAAGCCACAAAAAGAGCTGGACCATGGTGACTCCATTGAAGGGCCTGTTGATCCTATCGGTGTTCTTCCATACAGCTTACTACGTCGTTGACAAGTGCTATGTCTATGGGGTCAGTAGAAGACTTGCGAACCTGTTATACGTTCTTTGGGTGTCTGCTTACAACACATCATTTTTGGCAGGTTACAATTTGGTCGAAACTTTGCTATGGGGTGATGGTTCTAAAAGTTTCAAACTGTACTTTGACGAAAAGGATGAAGCTACCAGATTGGAAGAGACCTCAAAGAAAAACACATCGAAGGAATACGATCTCCAAACCCCAACTCTGCTTCATGCTGTCAACAACAACAGTCTCGTGACGTTCCTGGTTGCTAATCTTCTGACTGGACTGGTGAACATGACCTACAATACCATCGATGCCAAAGACCTGGCCGCTGTTGGTGTGCTTACTGGCTATACTTTGGCTTTGGTTGTATTTACATACTCTCTGTGGAGTCTCAGGATCGTTTTGAGGTGAATTACGAGGTAATTGACTCATTTAGGTCAGCCCAACATCAATGGTCATACTCATATACATACAATCCCATTGGACGCCGCACGATCTGTACCCCATAACCACGCCTTTAGACTTGACATAACGACATCGTAATGACACCATTTAACATGAACAGGTATAGGGAGGAGCAAAAAAACTGTGAGAAGTTTGTAGGAAAAAAAATAAAAAAATAGAGAACTCCGAGACGGGGAATTGAACCCCGGTCCCCCGCGCGACAAGCGGGGATTCTAGCCACTAAACTATCTCGGAAACTGTTCTTGATTAGATGAGGACTGGTTGAACCTACGTTGCCAAACTAAATTCAAACCAAAAAAAGAAACCTAAGAATCTGAAACGTTTCAAAGCAGATTTGTATTTCATTCAACAATAAGTAAAAGTATTCTAAAGATTCGGGACAATCATTTCATCCATCTTGAAGAATTTGCACCTCTTCTATTGATGATTAATTTGGGTAGAAATCTGAAAATTTCCGAAATGCAGTCTAATCAAAGAAATTTAGTCAAATCTTTACATGTACTTAAGCATCCAACTCTATATTGTCTAGTATAATCCCATTACTGAGCCTCATCCTTCTTCTTTTCAGCAGCCTCAGCCTCAGCTTTAGCCCTTTCTCTTTCATCATTCTCCCTCTCGGCCTTCTTTGCCTTCTCTGCCTCCTCTTTTTCGGCCTTCTTCCTCTCGGCCTCCTCCTTCTTCTCTTTCTTCTCTTTCTCGGCCTTTTCTTTGAGCTCAGCTTCAAACTTTTGCAACTCCTCTTGGAAACCCGGGTCCTCAATTACTCCATCAATCTTGATGGTCCCGCTCTTCTTCTGCTCAAAAAGTTTTTGGAGATATTTCAAACTCTCTGTCTGCGACTCAATCATTGGAGTTTCTGGCTCACCCCCAAGAGTGGGCAGAACGAAATGGCCCCATCCTTCAGGATACTCCATGCGGCTCACTTCCATGAAGTGTTCCATACAACTGACATAGTAATTAGGATTGAAGTCAAACATCGGATTGCACGAACACTTGTTTTTCTTCCTGAGAACATCGTTGTTCGTGCAAGCAGTAATAGGTGGATGAGAATAGCCAATGTCCTCAAAAAAATGAAATTTGTCTGCTGAGAGTTGCAAAGCAGCACCAATTGTATGAACCGGGGCATCACCCCACCTCTCATAGAAAAAGCCACCTGTTCTGTCCAAAAAGTTGAAAAAATTCTCGTAGAACTCAGACCTCCAGATATCCAAATCAGCAATCTCAAAATTCGACCAGAAATGGCACGTGTTATAGTCTGTGCCTTTATTGGAAGAAAGAAACTCCATGAAGTTCTCCGTTGGAAGGCCGTTGATGGAAAGGAAATCACGAACGGCCAACCATAGCGATGGAATCGTCTTTGGGTTTTCAAACAAAGCCACCGTGAATCCATAAGCCTTATTATTCTCCCTCATAAACTTAAATACGTCATAGTTGATGTCGCAGTAAAACTTAACCCCCGGTTCCACCCTCCAGTAGTATTTGTAAGGTTTCAGCAACTCATGCTTGTAGAAGAACCCGGAGTTAAAGCGACACATGTGGCGATAGCTCTCCTGACCACCGTATTTGTAGACGTTTTCTAATTCTGTAAATCTTTTTTTGGCCTTCTCCGTATCAATATAATCTGGAAACGACCAGTGCTCCAATGGAATGAGCCCATACTGTGTCTTACCAGATACCATTGCAGTGGTCTCATTAATGAAATCCTCGGAAAAGGGCTTTTCGTTGAGAAAAATCCAGTCATAGTGGAATTTGTTGTTGAATCTATCTTCCAGACTCTGTATCGACTCCAGCAAAGCATGCAGCTCTTCGTTTCTAGCCAGAGAAACGATCACGGCATTCTCGCGCTCCGAGAGGACCTCTTTGCCAGACGTGCCTTGCAACGTGATGGCCACCAAGAACACAGCCAGTGCCACCACTACGAGTAGCCTGGATCTGCTTCTCAGCAAAGCCACGATTTTTGCCCTAACCATGTTTTCTCAAAAACAAAACGCCAAAAGCGGTCTGATCAGGAAAGGAAGCGCGACCTTTTAAACACGAGAAAGGTGAAATTTACACACTTAGTGATCACACGACAAAAAGTTTAAAAAGATCATCGGCTGCAGCATTACTAAAAATACCGATCTGGGGTTGACATCAAATTTAAGGTACAATTAAAAAGGGTTATTGAAATGTAGATTCATAAATCGTTAACACCAAGGTAGTACATTGGTAGTGATTGGCGGCATAAATGCGGCTAAAATGCTAGCCAGAGCTGCTTCATAGTGTCTTTAGGTCCCATCTGCATGGCTGCCTGTGCATGACCCCTGAGTGATCCCTGAGTGATCCCTGAGTGATCCCTGAGTGATTTCAGTATTGGGTATTGGCCTATCTGCTTATGGGTCGGTGGGATACAAGGAGGAAACAATGGCTCTAATGGCTCTTGGAATCCGACTCACCATTAATTTCTCACTCCCTGTGTCGCTTCATGTGACTCCGATCAAGTTCACTAGCTAGCGACGCCAGCTGCACCTCGAGCGTATGAATGTAGTAAAAGGTAAAGTACTGCGGTTCGTCGAAAGGAAATCTGAAAGGAGAATCGTCGGAAATCCAGAATAATGGCTGATTGGCTTTTGTGGCCCTACCAACCAAATTCATCATCTGGTTCCACTCATCAAAGGTGTACTTCTTAAGAGGCTCCTTCCGCAAAGTAGTCACCGACCTCTTCAAATGGAACAAAATTTCCTGAATCTTGAGAAGCTTTTCAAGCGACGGATCATCACAAATGCCTTCTCTAATATGAGTATGACTAGCCAGATGCCCATGCACAAACGGCGGCAAAACATCACTATTAAACGAAGAGGCGGTCTCCAATTTAGACGTCATGTCAACACCCGGCTCAGCCTTCTTGAGTAGTCGATTGGTCCAACGGACAAGTACCCATTTTGAAAGCCAAGACCTGTTTATCCAGTTCAGGGAACGGTCAATCACCTTAATATTGTTGGCATCTTGTAGCGAAGCAAACAAGATGTCGCCCAGGTTCGATACAAGGATAGTCATGAGCGGAACAGCGCACAACCCCCATACCACAAAAAAAGCTCTCCCACCATGGGTAATTGGAGATGGGGTTCCATAGCCAATAGTAACGAGACATAGAAAACAGAAATAACACGAGACTCCGTAATCCCAGGACTCCACATAGTGAAAAACTAAAGCACCCATAAGCCAGAAGGTGGCCCATAGGGAGACAATTGCTAGAAGGCTGGTCGCTTTCTCCTCGGCTGAACCAAGCCTTGTAACTTTTCTCATGACCTCAAAAGACTCTCTGGAAGTGAGCGGAGCAGTGATGCTTTTGAAATTTTTGCGGCGTGCAGACTCGACCTTATGCCAATGGGAAGTCGAACTCCCGGAGAAGATGACCAGTTCTCTGATGGTAGAGATTACGAGACCAAACGAGACCAAGCCGAAAGTCACCCACAGTAACACAACAAACATTCCTACTCCTGTTTTTGGGATGAAATCCCCGAGTCCAATGGTCAAAATCGTCACCACTCCAAAGTAGATTCCCTCCGCAAAGCTGATATCTAGCAATTTGGCAAAAACAGCAGCCCCCCAAAACAACCAGATACACAGGGCAATTGATTGGGTCATGAGACTTTTCTGGACACCATCAATATTGAAAAGTGGGGGGTACTTCTTGAGCATAAAGCCCACCTCATTGAGTAGCAAAATGGTGAAGCAGCTAAAGTAGAGCACCACTGTTATAACCGCAAACCAATAGCCCTCACTGGGAAAATATGGTGATCCTGAGTAGAAATAGGTGAATTTGGCCGAAATAACCAATGCCAGCAACAAGCAACCTGCAATGAACCAGCCACTAATGGAAACAACCTGTGAAACGGTGTATCTCAGCGACTTGCGGAAGTTCAGCAAAAGCGAAATGTTCGAGATTAACCCAAACATCACCGATATCCCATTCACCTTCATCATCCACCCGAGATCTGTGACTTGCTTATCAGTCTCCCTTTCAACTCTCCATTTGCAGATGATAGCACACAACGACATCAGATTGCCGACAGGTCCAATGCACCCCGCAATCAATGGAAAATACGAACTCATAGCAAACCAAATAGTAAACCCCCGGTCCCCAGGTTTCACAGCAAGATCTTCTATCGACCAATTGTTCGTATTCAGCAGCGTTCTGTAATAATCCTTAACGTCAGGAATCACGTTACTGGCATAAGGTCCCAGCTCCAGATCCTGTTCCGGAGCAGTTTGTTCAAAAGCTTGTTCATCCTCCCCCAAAAATACATTTGGGTCAGCGCCTGAATCCTCTTCGGGATCAATACCTATATTAGCGATATCGTCCGAAGTTTGGGTAACCTGCGGACTGCTTTGTAACGTCGTATGCGGCGACAGTAGGGCCTCCACACCAGAGGTGTACTGTAAATGGGTTGAGTCTTCCATACGTGCCCGTGAAGACTGTCGTATTTCCATAATAGCTGAATTTGCAGTATTTTATACGGCAATATAAGTCTGGAGAAGTTGAGTATTCACGAAAAAGACTCACGAAACAATGACTATCTCGAGGCGTGGGCTTGTTTTTTTTCCAAACAGGGCATCGCATCGCATTGCCCACTAGCACCCATCTCAAATTTTTGAGGTGGTTTTGAAGAGCTAAACAACTAAAGATAGTAATTATGGATAATTTGGTTGATTACAGTGGGTTATGGGTATTTTGCTGATATTATTTGAATATTCTATGTAATGCGCTTGGTGCAGCGCTGTAAAACTTTGATCTGTGCGGGGAGTGCATGTGGACTGCATGCTGAGTATCTGAGGCATGGACGTTATGGCGGTCATCTGCCTATTACATCAATTGGCAATTAATTTGTGAAATATGTAGGCCACAAAATATAGTGACTCTGTGAGACTCAAGTTGTCCTACAAGTGCTCTACTAAGACGCTATTAGTACTTAGAATTCTTCTTTTTGTGCGCCACTAGTAATCCTTCTGGCAGCAACTACTCGCTATAGTCACAAACTTCATTATCGGCTCTATAATTGTATATTCAACCCATCTCTTTTCTCTTGTTCTCTTTCGTGCTCATTTACTGTTCACTTATCGCGTGGCTGCAACTTGATCTTGGCTGTGGTGGACTCCAAAAAGTTCAGCTCCTCCATGATGAAATCACAATATTGCTCACTCTTCACGCCGCCTTCGCTCAAATAATTCAGCTCGAGCTTCACATCACACCAGAACTTCTTGATTATTGTCCATTGTCGTAGTTCATAGTCAAAATCCAATCCTGTCTGGTCCGCATATGTGCGGATCCGCTTTTTGGATGGATCCTGATCCAGAAATAACTTGTTTTCGCGACGGAGCGCCACAGGGTCCAACTTTGGGTAGTTTGAATGGATAAACATCGACTGTGAGTTCCCCTTGGTGAAGAAATTTTCAAATTTGGTGGGATTGTACTTGTCCAATCCAAATGCCCACATTTTCAGCCTCCCAAGTCTTGTTTTTGCCAGTTCACCCAGTTTTTTAGCATGTAACTCCTCCAATTTGGTGAAGTTTCGCACATTCTCAAAATCCACAATCGGATTGTACTGAATCATCCCGACTCCCGTATATTCATGCGGATCATCCTTCCAGAAACCAACCACATCAACTCCTTTCTTGACCTGGTAATAGGGCAGTTTGAAAAAATTGGCAGCGGCCACAAACGTCTCCTTGTCACCCTCTCCATTGGCTCCCTGTGAAAAAAGCGGATAGTAGTGTAAAGGACCATACACATTGTAGTAAAGTGACAAAAGAATAGCCTTTCCGTGGGTGCGTTTGTTGATGATCATTTGACCGCTTTCTGTGGATATGTCAGGAATCGAACCCTCTCTGTCATGCAAGGGGACATCTTTGGTCAAGTCCGCACTTTCATCTACATACTCGCTGGGATTCGTCACATCATCAAGCACATTGCGAACACGCTTTCCAAGCTTGATTCCAGCTAGTCTATAGTACATTGGATGCGTAACACGCTTCCAAAAATCAGGCCAAGTGACGAGTCCCTTAGAAAGGAAAGGCTCAGAATCAAACAGCACGTCCGGGTTAGAAACCACGGTATTGTCCGAGTCTAGAAGTAGCACATTTTCGAAACTAGATGCCAATATTGCAAGTGACTTGTACTGATAGCCACTGAGTTTGGAACTAGTGAACTCAGGAATAATATCCGTGAGCATTACACAGCGTGCGTTCATTTTTGGCAGGATCTGCTCGCACAACTGAGGCTCGTATTCGCGTTCGGTGGGAATCATGATCTCCACAGGCACCTGAGACCCCGTCATCCTCATGTTCTCCAGACTGAGCAATGAAAGCCACGAGAACTTGGCCCCGCCGATGAAAACCACGCCGTTGCCGGAATATGACTCCATAGGCAAGGACTCGGGCAACTGACCCACTACATTCGCATGGGACTGGGCCAATGGATTCACAAAAGCTCCAGGAAGTTGGAGAACCTCGTCTAGAACATACTCGGACAAAGTGGGCAGCGCCGGATCCTTATCGTGGAGGGCAACGTTAAGTGCAACGTCTTTTGAGCGACCAAACTTGCGAGGGATGTGCTGCTCAGAGGTTTCCTTGAATGCTATTGGCTCGAGACCAAGTGTCGGCTTGTTATGATAAATAGTGTCTAGCACCTTATTGTAGAAATTCTGAAGCTTGAGGATGCGCTGGAGCTCTTCGGCGGACTTGCGGGATGCTCTGGACTCAGGGATTCTGGCTTTTGAGTCTGCTTTCAGCGACATCCTGACACCATCTTGCGCATGTGCATAGTTGGGAGTCCCTAAAGACCGCTTGGATGCCAGATCTTGTCTATGGAGATCATAGAAGCTTGGTTTCGAACGGCTTTTGGAGTGTGGTAAACACGTCGCTAACACACTTACCAGAACAAACGCCGCGGCCACCAACACCACCGACCGCCGACGAAATCTCCACAACTTCCTCAGCCTGTATCGCAACAAGGAAGCGGAGAGCATTCTCACAAGTAGCCTAAAACAACAGCTTTCTAGCAATGGCGAGGAGGAAGATCATGCGGAAAAGCATAGTCATGAAGAAAATCGTTAGACGTGCTTGCGATGGGGGGTGCACTACTACACAATCCAGACCGATGGTGTTCCGGTTGCATTCCGGTAGATCTACAGGCAATCCAAAGCAGTGCTGCTTTAGGCTGGGATTTCAGGATAATTTGTAAATTTACTAACAGCGGTAATACGAAAAAACTTGATCGGAATGGTATTTGCAAATTTTTGAGTATTATTTCTTCATTCCTGAGCAAATTCCAACCGTGATCGCTTTTACTCCAACGACAAGTTCCGAGGTCCATTTCGGGAGATTTTGAAGGTAATTCGTGTGCTAACCCGAACCGATCTAAATATTTAGACGGATGTCGAGATGTTTGGATGGGCTTGATCCATTGTCAGTTTATTTATAGACCTATTTTTGGCCAATGACCCTTGCCCTAAATACACATTTTTCATCTATGATATCATTGAAATCTTCCGACAAAGTTAATGGGTATTTAAAAGTATGCCTCTCAATGTAGAGGCATCTATTTTTGTCCATTCCTCCAGTTAGCTGAGCCTCCGTTTTGCAATCGTTTACATGGTGGTAGTCTTCAGTAGCCTTGACTATGTTGCTGAGCCTGCATTTGCTAACAAACAAGCAGTTGACAACAATGTATGGGTGCCTCTGCTCCTAATGCCAACCAACTGCAGTGAAAATACTCAGAATCTCAATGCCGGAGGAGACATAGGGCTCGTTAGTTCATTAATGCTCGGGGTTGTTTTTCTATACATTGCATTATAGCTTAGCTCCACATTGCAGCTGCGTACTCTGTCACATAATAAACCAGCTAGTAGGCTTTTCTGTAATGCTTGGTCCAATTTCTCCGCAATATCCCACAGACCCACCACACCTTCTCGGTCTCCATATCGGGCTCTATGCACTGTGCCCTTTGCATTGCATGGACCTCCGGCAGTATGCCATATCAAATAACTGATTCTCTGAAATGCCATACAGTCTGCTTCCTCTTCACTACTGATTTTGAATGCCTTACTGCAAACCCACAAGATTATATACTCAGAATCATAACACAATTGTGGATTTTTGACAGGATAAAGCAATTCTATTATTCTTGTCACTACTCTCGACTCTCCAGTGTAAGGCTCGTATACGATCTGTCCATCGCCTTTTCAGATGCCCGTATATTTTTCTCCGTCACGATATAAAACGTATTACTCTCGTAAATTTTCAGGGTCCACGTCTCGTTCCATTCCTCATCGTTCCCATCTAATCCGTTCCCGTACCAATTTTCACTCCCATGCTCATCTCACCCATTACTCAATGCATCTCGTTCCTCGTTCCCATCGCATCGGTCGCGTCGCGTCCAATTCTATGCCTCGACGACTAAACCTTAATGGTTTATATATCCTTGATTACCACAACAACCAAAGACACGCCTCTCTCTCCTTCTTCTTAGGCAAGATTTCAACAATTCCAACCATGGCCACACTCGCTCCCAAAAACTTTGAGGCAGATAAGAAATTCGCCGAGATCCTTCACGGGAAGGACACGTCCAAGACGGGCATGTCGGCCTGGATCCAAAAGAGTGCAGACGCTCAACAGGTCGCTGTCGACGGATACTTCAAGCACTGGGATGGAAAGACCGACCAAGAGACCGAGACGGCTCGTCTAGAGGACTACTCTAGTTTGACCAAGCACTACTACAACTTGGTCACCGATTTCTACGAGTACGGTTGGGGATCTTCTTTCCATTTTTCACGCTACTACCCTGGAGAGGCCTTCAGACAAGCTACTGCCAGACATGAACATTACCTTGCCCTCAAGATGGGCATCAAAGACAAGATGAAGGTTTTGGATGTTGGCTGTGGAGTCGGAGGACCAGCTCGTGAGATTTCTCGTTTCACCGGGTGCAGCGTTGTTGGTTTAAACAACAACGATTACCAGATCGAGCGCGCCACTCATTACGCCAAGAAACAGGGCCTTGACCACAAGTTGAGTTTCGTCAAGGGCGATTTCATGCAAATGGACTTTGAGCCTGAGTCCTTCGATGCTGTTTATGCCATTGAGGCAACTGTGCACGCGCCTGTGTTGGAGGGAGTGTACGGTGAGATCTACAAGGTGCTCAAGCCCGGTGGAGTTTTCGGTGTTTACGAATGGGTGATGACAGATGCGTATGACGAGAACAACGCGGAGCACCGCAAGATCGCCTATGGTATTGAGGTTGGTGACGGAATTCCTAAGATGTTCAAACGCCAGGTTGCGGAGGACGCTCTTAAGAAGGTTGGGTTCCAGATCGAGTTTGAACGCGATCTGGCCGATGTCGGTGACGAAATCCCATGGTGGTATCCTCTCAGTGGTGACTGGCGCTACGTTCAGTCCGTTGGTGATCTCTACACTTTCTGCAGAACCTCCAACTTTGGCAGAAAACTCACCACTGGGGCAGTTGGTTTGATGGAAAAACTTGGAATCGCTCCAAAGGGCTCTTCCAAGGTTACCGCCGCTCTTGAAGATGCAGCCGTTTACTTGGTCGAGGGTGGAAGACAGAAGCTTTTCACTCCAATGATGTTGTATGTCGTCAGGAAACCACTGAACTAGAAACTTTTAAACGATTCGTATGCTATTGATAACTTTAGAGTAGTGTAAGAGGCGAGAGTATAGAAGCTCCAGTTTCAAACTATTGAGTCACGTCAAACATTTACCCATGACTTCACTACGGGGGCGGAATCTGTAGTTGTTGTTATGGCAAATGAAAAAGGTTATGAGCGGTGCCGCACATAGATAAGGTATGGCCCTGGCTGTATCTCTGTTTCCAATCCGAAACTCACTACGAACCTACAAGCTTGTGCTGTCAATGCATTATCTTATTTGTCACGTATCAATAAGCCTAACTAAAGCCCATGCACTCCCCGCAGCAACAGAGCCCACTACCACCATCTGGAATCCCTCCGACACCTTGCGCACGCTTGAACACTCTCCAAGCGAGATGAACGCCTTGAAAAAGCCAAAGATGAATAGCGTTATCACCATAACGACACAACTTATGATGAAACCGGTCTTGACGAGGTCTGTGAAGAAGTATGGAACGAGTGGGATGAAGCCGCCAAAGAAGTATCCACCACCAATGGTGAGTGCGCTCGTGAGCTGGCGACCCTCAGCCGGCTCCTCGAGTCCTCTACCAAAACGGATGATGAAGTCAATCATCGCCTTTGGATTTCTTTGCAAATCCCGTACAAACAACTCGATAGTATCTTCAGAAGCGCCGAGATCCAACATGATCTCCTCTACCTCCTTATCCAGTGCATCGCGATCTGAAAAGAAGTCCTGTTTTTCGCGCTTTACTTGCGAGCGGTAGTAGTCCACTTCGGAACGAGCTGCAAGAAATCCGCCGAGCCCCATGGAAATTGCACCGGACACAAGCTCGGCCATTCCACCCGTAATGACGATCTTGGAATTTCCGAGAGACGAAAGCCCAGCAGTAAGGGCAAAAGGCACAGTCAGCCCGTCAGACAAACCAATCACAACGTCGCTCATAACACGCGGATCGATGTTTTGAAAGATGCCCAGGTTTGGTTCCCCCCTTCTGTCAAATGTTTTCTGTGAAGTCTGCGACTCGGCATCAACGCTTCCGTCATCAACAGCTCCGTATTGAGACTGGCCCGAAATTAAGGAGCCGATGGCATTTTTGAGTGCAACTATGGCCATTGTGGTGTAACTATGTGATAGATTTGGATGGAAAAAAGTGCAGAACAGTGCCACGAATGTGACACAAGATTGCTATGAGCCTGGTGATTCACCGAACAGGTTGCGATAAAACCGAGTACGGGGCAGATGCACCTAAAAAAAAACACGCTGCTTAAACAGAGGCACAAGAGCTTCTAGAACAGACTAGCGATAGGAGTGGCGAAAAAAATGCTTTGCAAGAAAGAAGGTTTGAAAGCAAAGACAGCGGCAAAATCCAAACATCCCTTTAAAGCAGAAAAAATTGGCCCGAGAATGCGCCTGTAGGCTGGTCGTGCTCAGCACAACCAAATGGCATGGGATCCAAATCTGGGGAATACGGCCAATCAGAGTTGGCTAATTGGTCATCTTTTGAGCCGCACTACCATTTATCTGTACTCTGATAGAGACACGAAATTCACCTGTTGGGCCTGGGAAGCAAGGCTGGTAGAAGGGCAGTAGGGGCATTTGAAGCTGGAACTACTCCGAGCGAGTCTATCGAGACTGTCTTTGGAAAGAATGTGTTTGCAGGGAAGTAGCATCGGAGGGTTGGCCAGGGTAGTCTCTTCTCTTGACACAGGACAGATAAAAATGGAATGGAACTGCAACTCGGATGGGAGGTTGATTTCAAAAGGAAGCTCTGTCTTGGTGGTCCAGTCCAGACGACCACCCGAGTTCTTGAGGATGTTGTTGTACTTCACGAAGTTGGGCAGAGCGACATAGCTCGTGAGCAGCGAAACGTATAAGGGACTCTCAGAAGAGAGTCCTATCAATGAGCAATAATCTTGGGATAATTGATGGAATATCGAGTTGAAGGATACTTCCTGGAACTCTGTCATGGACCGGTAGGGCGAATCTGTGTCAGTTGGGGCGTACAGGATGGACGAGACCAGCTTCGAAATCGTCTCCAGATGAGTGGCTCCAAAGGTAGGAAAATTGCGTTTGGCATACGAATACGCAGCGAATGGGTAATCCTGGGTACCATTGTAGAGCTTCACAAACTGCAGCTTGTGTAGATTGAACTCTAGGTCGGACCCTATGGCCTCCAGCCTTTCCGAATTCTGTTTCGCCCAAGCAATCGCCTTATCAAGATCCCCATCTTTGATGAGAGTCGTAGAAATGGCGTGCAATTCCTCAAATCTCTCCATTAACGAGCGCGGAATCGTCATCCCATCCTCGGCCCCCACAGCCTCTGCAACGTCAAAGTCTCCATTTCTTAAAAGGTGCATTATGACCGCTCTATCAATCAGGAGACGATTCGACTGTCCCTGTGGTATCTTGTAATTGTAAACTTCTCCGTAGTTGAAGTTGAAGGTTCTGTCGAACGCCTTTCCGTATCGCTTTATCGCAGTGTTCACCGACTTTTCGTTCTTCAAAGTTTTGTCACTCCAGGACTTGACTTGCTTAGCCAGCAATGGAGAAGAAACATCTTTGCCTGATATCTAGGGTTAGCTCTATTCAGAAGTTGGCATGTTGCAGAATCCACACTGCAGGAAGGGGCAAAAACATACCATCCACCAGACTCGCTTCCATAAGCCGCAGCGAGTCCAGAAGGCTCTGAGAATCACCAATACATTGGTCTAGTGCCTTATTTGCAGCAAACCTATCAATTTCTTCTTTTAGAATGGCGTATTGTGCACTCATGTTGGTGCCAGTGCTTCTCGTAAAAGAAGGAAAGCCCAGAAACCTCTCTTTATCTAAAGGATCTGGGGTGATGATCTTGCGTGCGAAACATAAATTGACATTCCTAAAAACGGTTATAGCACATCAGAATGGGAGTGCTTTGCTGCGGCGCGGTCTCAATCTCAACGATGAAAGCATAGTGAGGACGTTATATCTCATATATATATGTAGATCTGATCAAAAAATGAGCCTTTGGCTAGCCGGACAAGGAAAATTCAGCAAATGTGCATTTTCAGGATTCATAAGAATGTTCGGTGATCCTCAAGGTGAACCTCAGGAGCTTGTGTCTTTATTTCAAGATAGGATGTCCGATAGTTTTTGTCAGTATGTTTGCAAATGCCACCCTCAAGTTTATGATTGTAACCAGCCTTCAGTTATACTATCTTACAATCTGTGAAGATACGAAGTCAAGGTCCAAACTTCGAGGGTTCAAATGGTGCTTCTTCCACGACCTTTGGGTCTCTCGCACGACCCACCCCCCCGCGAGATGTACAACAGGGCGCAACAAGGGTTAGTTATCTTGACAACGCTATCTTCCCATTACACCTGTTCTCACTTACCTTTTGCTTGAAAAATTTCCAATGAAAACACCAGTGATTACAATTCCCTTGAAGAAGACGGAGGAAGTTGATTGGTCCAAACCTCTGCAGTCTTATCTTGCAAGAGTGTATGGGTCTAGTGATGAGTACCACGAGGGCATAACCACGTTTAACAAATTGAGATCCGATATGACAGGTGCAGGTCGGGATTCCACGGGACGTGACCTGCTCTATCGGTACTATGGCCAGCTTGAACTGCTTGATTTGCGGATTCCTGTTGACCAGCACGGAGGAGTTAACGTGACATTCACTTGGTTCGATGCCTTTAGACCCGCTTCAAGCTCGTCGCAACACTCACTGGCCTTCGAGAAGGTAAGCGTTCTGTTCAATCTGGCTGCAGTTCTTTCGCATTTGGGCGCAGACTATTTGGATGATGACGATCTCAAGTTGTCGTACCAGGCTTTTCAATGGAGTGCGGGAATCCTCCAGTTCATCTCCGAAAACTTCCTCCACGCCCCTTCCAACGATTTGCATCAGGATACGATCAAGGCCCTTACCAAATTGATGCTCGCGCAAGCCCAAGAGGTGTTTGTGTTGAGATTATTGCTCGGTGATTCGCAGACCAAGCCTTCTCTTCTGGCGAGACTGGCCAAATCGTGCAGCGTGTTCTATGGGCTGGCCAAGGACGGTCTGGATGAGGTCTCATCCAAGGGTGTTGATGTCAAATGGAGTGCTTTTGCCAAACTCAAGACTAAGCATTACTTGTCTGTTGCACACTACTACCAGGCACTGAACTCAAAGGCTTCTGGAAAGTACGGTGTGGCCATTTTCCACGCGAGAGAGGCCCGTGACGACTCTAAGGAGAAAGCCGTTTTTCTTGGAGTTGAGATGTTCACAAAACTAAACGCTGTCACCAAAAAATGGGCAGAGACTGTCAAAAATGAGCTCACTGAGTTGGAAAAAGACAATGATTACATTTACCACGATGTGATTCCTACGACAGTTCCAGAGATCAAGCCTATGGATAGTGCTGCTCCCGTACCACTAAACAAGCAGAATGTTGCTGTGGTGACTACCGATCTGTTTGAAAAGATTGTGCCTATGGCTGTCCACGAGCAGGAATCTTACTACTCCGAGGAAAAAGCTAAGCTTCTCCGCAACGAAAGCGGAAAAATCACCGTTGCCGACGAGGAACTGGAATCTGTGCTTGAGTTTTTAAGGTTGCCGAAGTCCTTGGCAGATATCAGGGAGCTTCTGAGGTGGAATGGATCCAGTCCTCCCGATGACGATGACGATGACGAGGAGGTGGACCCAAGAGTGTTGTCTGTTTCTCTCGAAGTATCTTCATCCAGACTAGATTCTTCTTCCGTCTCTAACACGAGATCCCAAATATACCCAATTCTACAGAATTGTGACACTTTGTTAGACAACGAGGAAAAGACTTTCACTTCAAACAAGACGCAGTATGGAAGTGGTTGGTCTCAGACGCCTTCTGATAGTTTCAGTCTCAAGGAGGAGATTGCACGCATCAAGAAGTCGCTGGCAGATGCGGCATCATCTGATCAGAAACTCTTGCAATTGATAGACGAATACCAAAGCGAACTGGATGTGTTGAAGCTAGGTCCGCAATCGCAGCGCTTGAAGGATGTCTTTACAAAGCCAAAACCGGCAGATTCGCAAAGTGTTTCGCTGGTAGACCTAGACGATTCGACGATAGTCAAGACTAAGGCAAAGGTCGAACAGGTGGACTCAAAAGTTCAGGAGCTCTACTACCTGAAGAAGGAGAGACAAAACACTTACAATGACCTGAAAGAACTTGTGCACAAAGATGATATCTCAAACATTTTGATTTTGAACAAAAAGATGTCGAACATGGACAAAGTTTTCAGCGAAGAACTATCCAAATTCCGACCTTACCAGGATAGAATAGATGCCACTGTGGAGAAGCAAGAGCCTCTGGTCAACGAGATCAAAGCTCTCATGGGCGATATTCTCCAGGACGAAACTGTAAAGAGAAATCGTAAGTTGCAAAAGGCCCAGAACAGCAGCAAGAAATCGCTCGTTTCCAGATACCTACAGGCCTACGACAGTTGGAAACAGTACAATACTGGATTAGAACAGGCGACAAAATTCTACTCGCAACTTCTGAATTACGCACACGATGTGAGGTCAAAAGTGGAGACGTATGTGCGGTCAAGATCGGAACAATCGGCATTGTTGTCAAACTCGTTTTCGTCTCAGGAGAGAGACCAGTATGCTTTGAGGGAGCATCTCAGCAGACTGAGCATCAACGGTGGAATTTCGCCAGGAAACAGCAGATCGGGATCTCTTAACTGGCAGCCGCAGCCACAGCAACCGGCACATCACCAGGCACAGATTTACGAGCAACAACCCCCACTTCCTGCAAAGCCCGGATCGTTCTCATACACGAACGGCTACCAGCCACCACCTCCGCCAAAACCCCAAGGAATGACTGGAGTTGCTCCAATTTCTGGATACAGCTCGTTGCAACCACCTCAGCAAAATAACGCCAACGTAAATGCGCCTTCTGGTTCGTTTTACAGCACTCCTTCAGTGTATGATCCTGCGCTGTATAGCAAGTTCAGTCAGAACAGCTGAGTGCATCGAAAAGTCCAGTCATGCTTGAGCATGCGCAGATTATTATGGAGTTTCCCCGGCCTCAATAGTGTTTCTCAAACATCTAAAAAGTCAGCAGCTACTAGCAACTCAAGCGACATCTCAGTAGGAATTTCAAATTCAGGTGTATCCACCTCATTCTTGTATTTGAGATTGTAGTAAAGATACTCCACCACCTTTTCAAGCAAAACAGAGTCGATTTCGTGAAGCTTTATCCTATTGGTTTCCGCCTCTTGAAATGACGAGTCCACATTGAGCATTCCGCGTAGTGTTCCAGACACCAGCGCGGCCTCTCTTTTCACCACGTATTGCAGTCCATCTGAAGATATGAGAGTCACATATGGCGAGTCGGCCAACTCAGGCTCTTCAACGTCTACCATTGTAAGTTGATAAGTCGAATAGAGGGACCGATTGAGGCGCGCGTTTGAACTGCGAGGAAACCTTTAGAGATGGCAAGAGGCCCGTATCACAAATGACAGATTCTCTTCTGCCTTTCTCACCCTGTCCCAAATGACAGTCTATTACTTGTCTGCGGCACGAGACTCCAAAGTATATCATTAGCTACAACAAGACCATCAATTCCATTCTTACGCAAGAATGAATGCCAACCCGAGTCTAGGTAAGTGTTTCTGTCAATTTCTAATTTTATTGGCACACAATTACAGCTGACACGCTACTAACTTCCAACAGGTTGGGAACGACTCCAGGATGTATTCTATCGCATCCGCGAATGCTGTCCTACACTAAACTGGAGCCAGGATTTGTCCAAAAATCTGGTTGCAGTGGCTCCTTTCAGCTCAACTATTGCCATGTTTTCGAATAAATTTGGTACCGGGGCTGTTCACGGGACCTTCATTAAGGTGTACTCAGGCTCTGGGTCTGAGGTATGCTCGATTCCATGGTTGAACTCCAACGGCGATATCGTTGCCTTGGGCTGGAATGACCAAATGCATTTGATTGTTGTTCTTTCCAGCGGAAAGACACGTGTTTATTCAAACTTCGAAGGCGACTTCACAGAATTCAGTCTGGGGTTGTCTACTGGGGAGACAGTCAAGGAGGCCAAGTTCTGGTCCTCAGGGATGGTCGTTCGGCTTTCGAATGACCAGTTTGTTGCGGTAACTAGTTATAAGCGGAGAGTGATGCTTTGGCTTGAAGAGATCGTCGAGTTAACACTGAAGCAAGAGAGTGTGAAATCCTGGGCTTTGAATCCTCCTTTGTACAATAGAGAACTGAGCGTGTTGGTCTCCACCGAGACGGGGATACGGGCGATTGGAACTACCACAGTGCAAGACATGGGCTTCAAAGCGGGAGCCTCATGTCACCTGATAGCGCTGCCTCGGGTTGGTGACTTTGTATCGCTTTTCACCAAGGATCACACGATTCTGATTGTGACGTCTGATTTCAAAACGATTCTCTCAGAATTCAGTTCTGACAATGGTGGGATTCCGATACAGATGGAATGGTGCAGCAATGATGCTGTATTGGTAGCATTCAAGGATGAAATCAAGGTGGTTGGACCATCTGAGGAATCATTGGCTTTTTACTATGACTCAGATGTGGTTCTAAGTCCCGAAGAAGACGGTGTATTCATTCTGAGCAACGATAGACTCGAGTTTTTTTCCAAAGTGGGCGATGCTACGGCTGAGACTTTCAGACTTGGCTCTACTGCTCCCAGTGCTGTTCTACTAGATGCCATTGACCAGCTAGATAGACATTCGCCAAAGGCAGATGAGAATCTCGAGATCATCAAGGACAACCTGGTGGAGGCGATGGATGTCTGTATTCGTGCTGCTTGTGAGGAATTCGACGCTTACTGGCAGAAAAGATTGCTCAGAGCAGCCTCTTTCGGCAAGTCCAGTGTTGATCTCTACAACCCAGAAGAGTTCGTAGAGGCGTGCAATATCCTTCGAGTGTTGAATGCTGTCAGACAGCCCGAGGTGGGGATGTTCTTGACATATTCGCAATACCTGAATCTAGGCCCTGAAAAGCTCATAGAGATCCTTCTTACGCGGCAGCAACACTATCTTGCCTTTCAAGTCGCACAGTTTTTGGACCTACCTGTTGATCCGATTTTCATCCACTGGGCCTGTTGTAAGGTCAAATATTCCAGAGATTTGAGCGATGAGTCTCTATTTGACGTCGTGATGAAGAAATTGGAACCCCGTAAGCCAATAACCTTGGCGAAGGTGGCTAAGGCTGCATATGAAGAGGGCCGCACGAAAGTTTCAATCATGTTCCTGAACAACGAGCCCGATCTGAACAAACAGGTTCCTTTGTTGATTGAGATGGAGGAAGACGAACTGGCGTTGATCAAAGCGGAGGATGGTGGAGATGCAGATCTACTGCTATATGTTTTGATAATGCTCCAGAACAAACTTTCGCTGGCTGATTTCTTTCAGATCATCAACCACAGACCAAAGGCAATTGGAGTTTTCAAGCAGACGCTTTGTCAGTTTTACCCAAAGCTCCTTCAAGATTTTTACTATCAAGATGATCAGGTGGGCAAACTGGCGGAGCTTGAGCTTGATTCCGAGTATGGAAACCACAACCTGATAAAAACACAACAAGACGTTGATAGAAGACGGACAACCCTCCATGGGGTGAGCAGACTTCTCGCTAAGGGAGGTGTGGATGCGCAAGAAGACTCTGTGTTGGTCCAGTCAGAGCTCTATCTTCTCACGCTACAGGAGAAGTACACTAATGCGTATGATGCTGATTTTTTCAACAAAAGTGCAGTTGAAATGCTGGAGAAGGTTCTCTCGCTTGCCTCATTGGCCAAAGCAGCCAAGGCTCAGAAAGAACTTCGGATATCGGATAAAAGATACTGGTGGAAGGTCGCCAAGGTCTTGGCCAAAGAGCACAGATTTGAAGAGATGTACGAATTTGCGGTTTCCAAGAGATCACCTATAGGATACGAGCCGTTCTACCACGAATGTGTCAAGTATGGAGAGAAGAGGCATGCTGCGCTTTACGTGGCCATGTGCTCGCGTCTGAATTACAAACAGAGGATACGGATGTATCTGGTGGTGGACGACTTGAAGAGTGCTGCCGAGGAGGCTTTCAAGAAGAGGGATTTGGACTATCTTAGTGTGATAGAGGAGAGAGGAAATAGTGTCATCAAAAGACAGGTGCAGGAGTATAGAGAAACAATGGGGGGAAGAAGGTGATTTCGAAGCGCTCAAGTTACATGTCACTCCATCATATAGTCAAGTCCATTTGGCTCTCTGGACATATTCTCATATTCTGCAAGCTTTCATTCCACATATCACTTTAATATACATTGCCATTCTTTTCAGACCGGCTATACCATAATATACAATCACTCTTTCGATCACACCCTTTTCTTCTTTTTGAAGGCCCCATCTTCTATCACTCCTGGAGTATTTCCCTCCGCCCCAGTCAGCCAACCGGGTATCCTGTCTATGTCAACCACTCCTTGCACGGCCAGCTCGTGCATCCCAGCAAATATGTCGTTTCCCATAAGGAACATTTTGAAGGTAGCAGACTTCTCGGTTCCCTCCCTCTTTCTTACTGAGAACTCCGCAAACTGAACTGGTGCTATCGAAGAGTACTCTGTCTTTCTCCCTGCTTCATCCATATCTTCGTCTTCCCCTTCAAGCACGATCGGTTTTCTCTTGATGGGAGTGACATGTTCATACATTCTTTCTGACTCAAATTTGCCTAAAGTTCCACGAAACCGAACTGCTGCAGTCTCTTTCCGCACACGGTAAGCATCGTCGTTCTCTTTGTCCTCAGACGAAGCAAGACGGCTTGGATTGAGCGACAGATGATTCACAGGGTCTGCCAAAGGCGACAGATCCACCGTGCCATCAGCGTAAGGAGCCCAACTGCCCAGAGAGTTGGAGAACCGCGAAACTCCCTTGAATATGTGCATCGTATCGAGGCTTCGCACCGGGGGTTCTGCTGACTTCACCAGCTTGATCTGGCGTTGTGTAGAAGATAAGGTCATTTCCACAGCCTGAATCACAATATTTGAAACAAGATCATCGCCTTCACTGTGTATTACATGCGGGGAAGACATTGGTATGGCGAGGAAGTACGGTTTTCGCGAGTAGATTTCTGGTCTACCTCCTCTTCCATTCCCACGTCGCAGGCTCAAATGCGTGAATTCAAACACCTGGATTCGAATCATAATCAAAGGGTACTTCGGATGTCTGGAGACATAGATATGTGTCAAAAAAAGACTCGAAAGACTTTTAATTAGGTTCTCCAAGAATTCTTGAGAGCTCAGCGAGAAGATGAAATCGTCTGAGTCCTCTGTAGCCGGTCTTCCATCCGAGATCACCTTCGCTACCGATGATACCCACGAATAGCCAGAAGGTCTATCCACTATTCCCTGAATTTCAATTTGGGCCAGTTGAAGAGCGTTCAGTCCTTTGGTCCAGTATTCCGCTATGATTCGATCAATGAGTTTCCTTTTGGCGTACTTTTTGGTCTTCATGATCTCGATTTCAGACCAGACTTCCTTGGCAAACTCCTGTTGCGTGACTCTGTTCTGTTTCAACTCTTTGGTCAAGTGGGGATATGTAACGTGCCATTTGGTCCATAGTTGAGCCAATTCATACAGAGCACCTGCCTCCAGTCTGCCCAACATATTGGCAATTACCTTCGACGATAGCGGCACAATATATGAGTTCGACAACACACCTGTCTGCCTCATTATTGGCCGATTTCGAATAACTAGTTCTGTGTTAATAGAACAGATCAAGTGAAAGCGATAAACGTTGATGTCAATAACAGACCGCGTACTGAAGCGTGTTTTTTACCACGGGCACATAACCAAAGAGAAGTCAAAAGTTTCTATTATATCAAAGACCACGGGGCGCATAACCACTCGATGCTCATCCCAAATTTTTTTATTATGAGTGAAAAATTATCAGGCTTTTAGTCTACAGAATTACAGCACGAAAATATGGAGGCTGCACAAGAAAACATTCAGACGGTTGCGAAAATTGATGACGGCCTAGACCGGAAGACTCTTTTTGTTCGTTCGATACCTTTTGAGGCTACATCGGAGCAACTGTCAGACTTCTTCTCACAATTTGCGCCTATCAGGCATGCTGTGGTTGTCACAGACAACGACAAGAAGTCCAGAGGTTTCGGCTTTGTGAAGTTTACAACTGATGAAGATCTGCTTAATGCTTTGGAAAGAGCCAAGAAGGAGAAGTTTTTAAATCGTTTGCTGAACGTCGATGTTGCTAAAAGAAGAGAGAGACAAGAAAGGACAGACGGATCCCGCGCCCCAAGGGCTCCAGCCTACGTGAAGCCAGAGGAGGTTGAAAAAAGGAAAGCTAGGTTGATTATCAGAAACTTGCCATGGTCTGTGAGAGATCCTACTGAGCTGAAGAACCTGTTCAACAAGTTTGGAGCTGTCACCGATGCGATTATCCCCAGAAAGGCAGGAGGAAGAATGAGTGGATTTGCTTTCATAACGATGAAAAAGAAATCCGCTGCTGATAAAGCCATAGCCGAGAGTAAGGGACTAAAAATCCATGGAAGGGAAGTTGTTGTGGATTTTGCTGTTGAGAAATCCAAGTGGGTTCAACATAATGAGGATAAGGAGGCGGACGAGTCAGAAGATGAGGAGGAAAGCGACCAGCAAGAGGAAGAGGAAGAGGAAGAGGAAGAGGAAGAAGGAGACGAAGAAGAAGTCCCCGAGGAGGAAAGTGATTCAGAAAAGGAACACACCAAAAAATCGCAGAAAGTGAAAAAAGTCAAAGTCATAGCCAGTGACCAGAACTCCGACTCCGAGACAGGCGAAGACTCCGAAGACGAGTCCGATATGGAAGGCGTCAAGGATATATATGACAACGATGACGAAGAAGAGAACAGGCCGAAGGCAAACAGACAGGAGAAGTTCACCATTTTTATCAGAAACCTTCCATATGATGCCACGGAAGAATCTTTGAGAGAACATTTCTCCAAGTTTGGTCCAGTCAGATATGCTCTTCCTGTGATCGAGAGAGAGACTGGGCTAGCCAAGGGAACTGGTTTTGTGGCTTTCTACAAGCAGGAATCCTATGAGGAGTGTCTCCTGAATGCCCCAGAAGCGACCGGAGGGTCCATTCTGATCGCAGATGATGTTTCTCCATTGTATGTTTATGAGGGTCGTGTTTTGTCTGTTGCACCTGCTGTCGACAGAGACTCTGCCAACAAGCTGGCCGAGCGTAATTTGAAGAACAGAAAGGAACTGCTAGGAAAGGCACCTGGTGAAAAGGATAAGAGAAACCTGTTTTTGCTGAACGAGGGAAGAATCACTTCCAACTCCAAGCTTGCCAAACTACTTACCTCTGCCGATCTGGCCATTAGAGAGAAATCTTATGACCTGCGTGTTCAACAATTGAACAAAAACCCAACTTTGCATCTTTCATTGACTAGATTGGCACTGAGAAATCTTCCTCGTGCTTTGACAGAAAAATCACTCAAGGCCCTTGGTAGAAAGGCAATTGTTGAGTTTGCTACTGAGGTCAGACAGAGCAAGAGACACGCCTTGAGTGCCGAGGAGATCAAGAGATCTATCAGTTTCAAGAAGTTCACTAACCCAGAAGAGGATTCTGAGTCCAACCGGTCCAAAAAGAAGGGTGTTGTCAGACAGGCTAAAGTAATCACCGAGGTCAAGGGATCCGGCGAGGCCGGTCGTAGCAGAGGTTACGGTTTCTTGGAATTCAGAGATCACAAGTCGGCACTTATGGCCTTGAGATGGCTGAATGCACATTTGGTGACGAACGAAGAGATTGTCGACGGTCTTACCGAAGAAGAGAAGAAGTCTGCACAACTGGAAGGTGTTTCCCAGAGGAGATTGATTGTCGAATTTGCCATTGAAAACGCCAAGGTCATGCAGCGTAGAAAGGAGTTCTCGATCAAGTCCAGAGACAGTCGCAAGCGTCAATTGGAGGCTGAAGAAGAAAATGCAGCTAAGAAGGCCAAGATTGAGGAAGAACTGCGTAAGTCGGGTGTTTCAGACAGTGTGAAGCAGATGATAGGGAAGAAGCGTAAGGCGAGAAAGAACAATAGAAGGTAGTGAAAACTGTCAGTTGAACACATATATTGTTATTTGAAGAGTCAACATTGTATAGTCAAGCATTAAAACTGTATGATCAAGCATTGATAATTTATATACATGACTGGATAATCTTAGCTAAGCGGTTAACCTGAAGCTGCATATTTGAGCATTCAGGCTGCATAATCGAGCATCGGAGCTGCATAGTCACGCCTGCAGATTGCTAGCTAGACATCAAACCTGTTAATCGCTATAAAAAGGAAAACGTAAATGACAGAATTAATATTGCGGATATACCCTTTTAGTGGGAAGGTACATCATCATTGCAGGCTCGACATCTGTGATGAAAATGTCTACAAATACCCAGTTTCAGTTTCGTTATATTCGTTAAATATTACATGCGGGTGATGTAGAAAAGTCTTCTGAACCAGTACACTGGTTCCGAACAATACATGAACCGTATCGTAGCCCCACCTCAGACTCAGAATCATTTATCCCAATCAACAACCAATTAAAACAGATTCTTTGTTTTCTCAACTCATGGATGAAAACTGTGGACACTAATTGCTAACATGTCTAAACTCATTTTACCTCAATGCTGCCTTGGAGGCCTCGTCATCAGTCCCATAGTGTTCTCAACCCATCCTTCTGCCCCTCCTTCCATAACGAGCACATCATACACTGACCTCACATTTGTTTTGTCTTTGAGGACTTGATACCCAAGAATGGCCGCATTTCTGGTACTGGGAATTCTCAACATCTCCTTCTCGACTCTCCATCCTACAGACGTGGCAATGTCTTCCACATGGTCCACCAGAGCAGCATACGTGGAGCTGGATGAGTACGAAACTGGCTGGACCTTGTTGTCTTCTTCTCGGGATTTGACCCGTCTCCCTGGTGGATATCTCACACGGGCTCCGCTGAGACTGTGGGAGCAACAAGGGATGACCATGAATGGATACCCAAGAAGAGGAATCCAGCAAGTCAGTTCGTCTGAGTGGTTGCCAATAATGAAGGTATCCGTTGGGAACTCCGCAGTATTCACCTGGGGTGACTGCAAAAGGCTTGAACTGGAGTAGCAGGCCAATAGAGGCACATTTTCGTTAAAGAGCTGTTTCTCACGCGAGTTACCACTTGGAGCAATGGAAACAGGAACCTGGAACAACCGCCCATTATCGTTGACATGAGGAGCCATACTCTTCAAAGCAGGGTGAGGTCTCAGAAGTATCGAGGGGATCACCACCTGTTCCTTGAGCTTATCGCGCACCTCCGGAGGATAGGTCTTCCAGGACTTCCTGCGTCTTGCGTCTATGCCGAGCCCGTTGTAGCCTTCCATTGTGAGCAAATAAACTAACAGACCGTTACCACAACCGAGATCCCGAAACTCAAAAGATTCCTTTCCAGAATAAATGACATCCCAAAACTCCATGAGAAAAGCGGCAATGGCAATGTCCTCAAAGACGTGTTTGCGAGGATCGGTCTTCTCGCTCCAATTATCCACGAGTTTCCGAGAATATTTCTGTTTCAGCTTGATATATCGGTCTTGGAATGCCACCTTGGACACCACCAGATCATGATTCACTCTTTTCTGGTATCCCTGTTTCACTCCCGAGGAGTGTTTGCGCGCGGTTCCCAAAAGCCTGAAGGCAATGCGGATCATCCTGTCCTTGGGATCCAATTCCTGGAAATGCTTAACTGAGTCCTCCGCAAATGGCATATAATGGATAGACAACTTTGAATTATCAAACAAAATTCCTATCGCTTTCACCTGGGGCAAATAGAAAGGAATCTCATGGGGATTATCAATATGTGGGATGTAGATCACAAGACTCGTGTTCCCGTCTGCGCTCCCTAGCACCAAACATGTTTGGTTGATTATAGGGTCTTTGTTAGGATTTCTCGGAATAATTTGCCTCACAATTTCAATCTTTGGTGCCAAATCAATCTCTAGAGGAACACTTTTCAGTGCTGTATCTTGCAGATTCAACTCCAGTCGCGAGGAGTCGTCAGTCTCCACCGCATCGTCCACCAACGGTTTTGATTTGGCGTCCAAAGATCCAGTACTCGAGATCTCAGTCTTTTCTGACTCATTCAACGGGTAAGAAACCTCTGACAGTATATCTGCTCGCAGAAGGACCGTAGAATTGATGTTTGGGTGCCTGATCAGATTAGTCATGGCCTGCTCGAAGTGGGAGGCTTCGAAATCTACCCCCTCCTCAAACAAACCACACCACTGTTCCCCTAGTGCCGAAGGATTGTCTCTAATGTTAGGAATGTCCATTTTGCCCCCGATCAGACTGATACCGTGTAATCTTTCGCTTCTTTCGAACCACAGTTTATCTGCATGACCAGCTTAGGCCCAATTTTTTTCACTAGCCCCAGGAGTGCACTCACCAAAAAACGGCGCCTTCCAGAAAAAGGAAGATTTGGGGCTGTCGTCAGCCTGTCTCCGGTCTCTGAGAGCATCACGTATCACTTTTTGGCGTTTTGTGTGACTTTTGCTCACTTCAACTCGGGTTGTTTTCTTGAATTATTGCTATTCAATAAGGAGAATGTCTGGCTCTTCTTCGCAGTGAGTATCCATTTTTTGGGTGACAATTGAGCTGGAGACGCATAGATTGGCTTGTGCTAGCTGAAGGGGGGGATCTTCCCTGAGGTGGGCATCTGAAACCAAGCGAGCCGTTCTTGCTTAATTGTGACACTGTGGTCTTGAAAATGTGTTTATATGAATTATTACTAACCGAATATTCAGATTTCAGCAGTAAGTATTTCAACTGGTGTGGACAAGTGGGCAGTCTTGAGGAAGTGAAGGTGTGAGTTCAAGAGTTGGTGGGAAAGACAAGAGCCACAAGGCGATTGAGGGATTCTTGAGGGTTCTCTATAAGCATTATGCAATCTTCGAATGCCTACAGATCTTTGGGAATCCATGGCAGTCTCAAAGAGCCGTTTGAGAATGGCTCAGAGCTACCCAAAGGTACCCGGACCTTCCTCCAGACCGAAAATTCTCACATTAAACACTAAATACATTTCAATCCATACTAACACATCTATCAGGCTGGAAAAGCTAGGTGAAGGCACTTACGCCACAGTTTACAAGGGCAGAAACAGAACTCTAGGAACCCTTGTCGCTCTCAAAGAGATCAACCTGGACTCCGAAGAGGGGACTCCGTCCACGGCCATCCGTGAGATCTCTCTCATGAAAGAGCTGAAACATGATAACATTCTCACGCTTTACGACGTGATCCACACAGAAAACAAGCTAACCTTGGTGTTTGAGTTCATGGACAAGGATCTGAAGCACTACATGGACACGCAGGGGAACAATGGAGCTCTTGAGCCCCCTGTGATCAAGTCTTTTATGTTCCAGTTACTCAAAGGTATAGGATTTTGCCACGACAATAGAATCCTGCACAGGGATTTGAAACCACAGAATCTACTAATCAGCAACAAGGGCGAGCTCAAACTGGGTGACTTCGGACTTGCACGTGCCTTTGGAATACCCGTCAATACCTTCTCGAATGAAGTGGTAACCCTGTGGTACCGTGCACCTGATGTTTTGCTCGGTTCCAGAAACTACTCTACTTCCATTGACATGTGGTCTGCGGGATGCATTCTTGCCGAGATGTTCACGGGGAAGCCACTATTTCCAGGTGCAAACAACGAGGACCAGCTGCTCAAAATATTCACGTTGATGGGAACTCCTAACGAAAGAACGTGGCCAGGAGTGAGCTCTTACCCCAACTTTCAACCTAACTACAACGTGTTTGCACCCCAGGATCTTGGATCTATCATAACGCAAATCGACAGCACTGCGCTGAATCTGCTCAACAGCCTGCTGAGGATGCGGCCAGACGAGAGGATACCGGCACGCATGGCACTGCTTCATCCGTGGTTTGAGGAATACACCTCTGGAAATCAGAGGGCGTATTCACAACAAGAATACCGCCATTAAGTGAATTTGAAAGTAACGAAAGTTTGAGACTTTCACGGCTTCTAGGATCACCCGAGGGATTTCTGAGTCTACCGTGATCCTCCAGTGACCCTCTCAAATCCACAAAATCATTCTCAGAGTCTGTTAGATTTTCATTTTACAAATCAGTCACTTCAAGTTAATGTTTGCTCACTCTAGTTTCATCAGATATTTCGGATAGTTGTTTTACCCAAAGGGCATATATATACATAGCGTCCATCAGTACTCGCATCCAATTGCACGCCCAGCGTGAAGATTCGCGATCATAGCATAATGCTGTGGCTCCGGCTCCACATTATAACGAGCAAGTAGTTCGAATGCGCCGTGGTCTTGCAATTCCGCAACTGCTGCCCATAGCTCGTCGTTTGAGGAGAGAACGGCACTGTTGTAGTACTCCGACAGTAAGAAACGGACAATTCCCAAGAGACCCCTTCGAAGGGCTAAAATCAGCGGCTCCGGATTATTATCAAAAGGCTCGGAGGAATTTCGGACTAGGAGTTCCACGAATCGCACGTCTCCAGTTTGGTGATGCTCAATGTACCACATTATGGTGGCCATCACGTTCACGAATCTCAATCCCCGCTGAGCCATTTTATTGAAAATAAAGCTGTAGAGAATCAGGCGCTCCTGAAGTTCCCCTCTAAGCCCACTCGCAGGCAGTTCACACGGGAATTGGACCGTGGCAGGAAAATCCTTATTGGCATACCATCCAACGGCACGCGGACACACCGTTTCATCGTAGGCAGAGTCAGGTGAAGGAGGCGAGGAAAAAACTGCAATATCACTGGCAAGCATGACACAATCAAATCTGATCAGTTCCAAAATAGGTTTGGTTACGTATTTGTTCCTCAAAACATCTGCATCAAGCGCATACTTGAGACCACACTCAGCATGGAGCTTGCGTCTATATCTATAGCGAACGCACATGACCGCGAGATGCTCATTAGAAGGAGAGAGCACAGAGTAAAGAAAACGGTTGCATTGGTATAGATCTGAGCACTCTGAGAACTTGAAAATTTCAAAAAGTACTTCCAACGGCAGCCTTTCTAGGATGGACCTTCCATCTGCAGGAGCCAGTTCGGCCTCACGTTGCGCGTCCTTGGGAGCCACCAGACGTCTCCTCTTAGGAACTCGAGAGGACCTCAGAAAGCGCTTGTTTATGGCTGTTCTGGTCCCGGGTGACAAAAAGCCCATGTCTGGGATGAAAGGCATGTGTATTCGGTCTCTGTCTTTCTGTTGAGGCTGGTTGAAAAACTCAGTGGGGGGGCAGAGGCGTGTACCAGACACATAGTAACCGCACATACATTGCACCAATTATGCGTGGATGTCCCCAGATCACTCGCGATAATTCGGCGCGTCAGACCGGCATGAATTGCGAATTCTGATCCAAGTATGAAGTGCACATATATAACATTACTGCTAGAAGTTTGGGCTGTTCTTTAGTACTGGGGAGTGACACCCAATCCAGTTACCCCAGAACTTTGTGGTTAAGCGCCCGAAAGTTCCGCACAAAGCAAACGAAGACAATTGAGCCGAATGAGGAAGTGGGGGCTTGGTATGCATATCCGGCAATCGGCGCATCCACGTGCTCAGCTTTTAGTTGTGATGTAAACTTGCCGTCTTTTCTTATTTTTAGATCATTTTTAGGGTAATGTTTGGATGGGATATGTAGGCGGGTATCAAAATGTTAAGCATAATATCCGGGCCGCCTGTGGGCGAAAGGACACTTTCATAATTTGTTTGAATCAATCACCGAGCACGATGCAGTGTGTGTAGAAAGAAGATATACAACAAGGCCGTAACTAAGCCGTCTCTTCACCGAATTTGATCGAACAAATAACAGAGTGACCGAAAGGAACCAACCAATGACGTATTCTTGACCCCCTTCTAATATCTTTCCCGCTTGAGACATAATTCCAATCATTCTTGGGTCCCTAATTGGCCCCACGATATGCGCCGGGCACGTCACCTTGCCAGATGCAAGAATTCGACGCAAGGCTTAGAGGATGCTCCTGCCGTTGATTTCGATATATTTTACTTGTTCCTTTGTACATTTCGCCTGTTGTTTCAGCTTTCCGAGGCGGTGCCTGTCATATATATCCGCGAGCTTTCCAAAAACCCCTCTGGCCTCGTGTTGACGAAGCCCGCACTCAGAAACATCACTTCTATGAGACGCATCAACGCCAGACTGTTCGCCTTAACCGGCCTGGTAATCGTCACAATAACGGTTCTATTGGGACTCAGACCAGAATCGGGTAGTCTGAATAAGGTCCAATCATTTGGTAAGAAAGAAACCTGGACCAAGACCTGGGCTGCGATCAACCCGCAGACGCAGACACAGGAGCCCGAAGGAACCGGTGGAAAAACCCCAGAACACGAGCACAAAGACGAGAACAAAGAATCAGCACAGCGATATGTTCCTGGTGATTCATCCAAGTTGGAACAGGCCGTTCACAGAAAGCAGGTGACCTCAAAAGCCCACAGACAAAATGCCACACTGCTGGCATTGGTGCGCAATAGCGAGACATATGGCATGATTAAGTCCATCAAGCAACTAGAAGACCGATTCAACCACAAATTCAACTATGACTGGGTCTTTTTGAACGAAGAGCCGTTTGACGAAGAGTTTATCAACGAGACTTCAATGCTGGTTTCGGGAACGGCTCGTTACGGGAATATCCCAAAAGAACATTGGTCATATCCCGACTGGATTGACCAGGACGTTGCAAAAAAGATCAGAGAGTCCCGAGTTATGTCGCGCATAAACTATGGCTCGAGTGAGAGCTACAGACACATGTGTCGATTCAACTCAGGGTTCTTCTACAAGCATCCTATAATGGATGACTATCAGTTTTACTGGAGAGTGGAGCCCGATATCATGTACAATTGCGATATTCCAGAAGACCCATTCAAGTTCATGGTTGACAACAGAAAGCAATACGGGTTTGTGGTTTCGATGTATGAAGCCCAGAAGACTGTGGAGACTCTCTGGGAGACGTCTATGAAACACTTCAACCAGTCTGGTCTGCCACCAGCAGATCCTCGGATGTATGAGTTCATTGCACGCGAGGACAACACGTACAATCTGTGTCATTTCTGGTCAAACTTCGAGATAGCGAACCTGGACTTTTACCGGGACGAGAAATACGAACGGTTCTTCAATGCTTTGGACTGGGCTGGTGGGTTTTTCTACGAAAGATGGGGAGATGCTCCAGTCCACACAATCGCAGTAGCAATGCTGTTGAAGGCAGAGGAAGTGCACGTTTTCCAGGATATCAGTTATACTCACACGGTCGCGGAGACCTGTCCTCTGGATGACGGCATGCGCCACGAGAGGCGGTGTGTTTGCAATCCACACACCGACTTCAGCTGGAAGTCCAAGAACTCGTGTACTCCTCGGTTTGTGCAGTTAACTCAAAAAGAGACACTCAAGGACCACGATCGGTATGTGACTGCGTTCGAGCAGGAGGAGCGCGATGAGAAATTGCGCAAGCTTCAGGAGGAGGAGAAACAGCAGGCGATCAACGAGCAGAGACAGAAGGATCGGAGGCGGAAAGCCGAGCAGAGAAAGGCGCAGCGTCAGGCTGAGAGGGAGAAGAAGGCCAAGGAGAAGGCTCAGGCAGAGGGAAAGGGGGAGCAGAAACAAGAGCAGAAACAAGAGCAGAAAGAGACGGTGAAGGAAGCTGAAAATGAGACTGTACAAGAGAGGAAGAACGAGGGAGAGCAAAAAGAAGAAACAGATGAAAGCAACGCGAACAGTAACGAAGATAACGGTGACAACTCCAATCAAGAGACCGCAAATGAAGGCACTGACAATGGCCAGGATAGCAACGAAGACGATTCAGGATTTGACGAAATCACAGCATTAGACAACGAGGATCTGCTTCAGGATATAAACTTTTGACTGTTTAAACATGAACACTAACGACATAAAACAAGCCCATTGATGGGACGCTGTAGGTGGTGGATAGCCAATTGCATAACCAGATTGTGGGCATTAGAAATCAGCGCACCCAAAGTTTCACTTCGAATTTCAAAGCCACAAATCGCTTAACCTTGACGAAAAATCACTTCGCTAAGCCCGACTCCCTTACTCAGTTGTGAAACAAAAGCTGAGACGCCGCGCCTCAGAACAATTACGTAGCCCCAACCTGATGCCGAGGCAGAAATTGATTTACACACGACACGCCTTACGTGTTCGTGCCTTTTTCCCTTGACGCCTGCTCGTTTCTTTCTGTGCTGTTGAAAATCGGCTTTTACCTGTTCGTTTATACGTTGAGTTTAAAATCGAGCTGTGTGTGCTGTTGCTTATTGCGAGGCTAATTTTTGCACTTTGCTTGTTTTTCCGAAATTCTGAATCTGTTTCGGAGCCTTTTGTGACGTGTCAAAAGGCGTCTACCAGGGGAACAAGACCCAAAACTTCCATTTTAAACTTTTAAGCCTGATCCGTTACCAGAATGGCTAGGGTCAACGCTCGAATCATCAGATTCGGTGTATTTGCCGCTGTGTTGGTTCTTTGTGGCTATATCCTTTCCAAGGGTGCCAGCTCAGCCTATTCCGTCCCTTCTACCGGCGCGTCCTCGAGCATTTCCACGAACGAAAAGTCAGCGCAGAAGCCAGTGGAGAAGCCAGTGGAGAAATCAGTAGACAAACCAGTGAGTCCCGCTGCTCCAGCTGCAGCTGGTGCTGCCGTGGTGCCTGCAGCGTTGAACGCGCAGTCAGGAGCCACTTCGCCTGTTACGAAGGGCAAGGAAAAGGCCACGTTCGTTTCCCTCGCCAGAAATGTGGATCTGTGGTCTCTCGTGGAGTCTATCAGACAGGTCGAAGATCGTTTCAATAAAAACTTTCATTATGACTGGGTATTTTTGAACGATGGCGACTTTGACGATGAATTCAAGCGTGTAACCACTGCGCTCGTTTCTGGTACTACCCACTACGGAAAGATAGAACCTGAACAATGGGGTTTCCCAGATTGGATTGACAAAGAAAAGGCTGCCAAAGTTCGTGAAGAAATGCGTGAGAACAAGATCATCTATGGAGATTCCATCTCATACAGACACATGTGCAGATACGAGTCTGGATTCTTCTTCAGACACCCTCTCTTGGCCGATTTCGAGTGGTACTGGAGAGTTGAGCCAGGCATTCGCATCTACTGTGACATCGAGCAGGATCTGTTTACGTGGATGCGCGAAAATAACAAAAAGTACAGTTTCACGGTGTCCTTGCCCGAGTACAAGGAGACGATCATGACGCTTTGGGATACCACCAAGGCATTCATGAAAGAATACCCCCAATACATCGACGAGAACAACATGATGGACTTCATCTCGGATGACGGTGGAGAAACCTACAACGGATGCCATTTCTGGTCGAACTTCGAGATCGCGTCCCTTTCGTTCTGGAGAAGCGACGCATATCTGAAGTACTTTGAATACCTTGACAAAGCCGGTGGATTCTTTTACGAAAGATGGGGTGATGCTCCCGTGCACTCCATTGCGGCGGCTTTGTTCCTGCCCAGAGATCAGATCCATTTCTTCGAAGACGTTGGTTACTACCATGTTCCTTTCCACAACTGTCCAGCGGATGAGAAGGTTAGACTTGCAAAGAACTGTGTTTGCAATCCTAACGAAGACTTCACCTGGAGGGGCTATTCGTGTGTGCCAAAGTATTATAAGGTGAACGATCTCAAGAGGCCTAACGGATGGGAGAACTATACTTAGAAGAAATTGTTTCAGTCGTTTGTATTTAGGAGCTATTTCGCTTCATTTTGACGTAGCAAATCAATTCTCACGGCAATACATGATGCTAGTCAAACGCTAACGCCAGTCCAATGTTGAGTATTCTGTCTGCCTGGCAATTACTATCGTCGCATAGTCGAGCAGCTGAATCCGTTAGAAGCCCGTAGCGAATTTTGAAGAGGTTAAGTGCTCAGACAAACTTGCACACGTGACCGCAAAATTTTGCGCGGTGCCCAAATTACCCGATTCGGCCAATGACTCAAATCCGACGACCCAAATTTTCATCCCTCTCCTTCTTTCTTCCCCAGTTCATCTACTATCAACTATCATACACAATCCACAATGTCAAAGGGAAAAGTTTGTTTGGCCTACTCCGGCGGTTTGGATACATCCGTCATCCTCGCATGGCTGCTTGAAGAGGGCTACGAAGTGATTGCCTTTATGGCCAACATTGGTCAGGAGGAAGACTTCGAGGCCGCCAGAGCAAAGGCCCTGAAGATTGGTGCCACCAAGTACGTGCTTGTTGATGTCAGAAAGCAGTTTGTTGAGAGTGTTCTCTTCCCAGCTGTTCAAGTGAATGCCATCTACGAGAACGTCTATCTGTTGGGAACATCTCTTGCCAGACCAGTCATTGCCCAGGCCCAAATCCAGGTTGCCGAGCAAGAAGGTTGTTTCGCAGTTTCCCACGGATGTACCGGAAAGGGAAATGACCAGGTCCGTTTCGAGTTGGCTTTTTACGCCTTGAAGCCAGACGTCCAGGTTATTGCGCCATGGAGAGACCCTCTTTTCTTCGAAAGATTTGCCGGAAGAAAGGATCTTTTGGAATATGCTGCTGAAAAGAACATCGAGGTCACACAGACCAAGGCCAAGCCATGGTCCACTGATGAGAACATGGCACACATCTCTTTCGAGGCTGGAATTCTGGAGGACCCAGACACCACCCCTCCAAAGGACATGTGGAAATTGACCGTTGATCCAACCGACGCTCCAGATGTGCCAGAGGACTTCACCGTGGTGTTCGAGAAAGGTCTTCCAGTCAAGCTGGCTCTTGCTGACGGAACCGAGTTCACTGATCCAGTTGAGATTTTCATTGCTGCCAACGCCTTGGCCAGAAGAAACGGTGTTGGCCGTATCGACATCGTTGAGAACAGATTCATCGGAATCAAGTCCAGAGGCTGTTACGAGACCCCCGGTCTTACGGTGCTCAGAACTGCTCACATTGACTTGGAGGGCCTCACTCTTGACCGTGAGGTCAGAGCCATCAGAGACACCTTTGTGACTCCAACATACTCCAAGCTGTTGTACAATGGTATGTACTTCACCCCAGAGTGCGAGTACGTCAGAGGCATGATTGCTCCTTCGCAGAAGACCGTCAACGGTGTTGTTAGAGCCCGTGCTTATAAGGGATCTCTGATCATTCTCGGAAGATCCTCCTCAACGGAGAAGCTGTACGATGCTACCGAGTCTTCCATGGACGAGCTGACCGGATTCCAGCCACAAGAGGCTTCTGGATTCATCTCTGTCCAGGCCATCAGAATCAAGAAGTTCGGTGAGAGCGTCAGGGAAAAGGGAAAGCTCTTGGACTTGTAAGTGTATCACTTTAATTAAACTAATGAAGCTGTCGGTATGAACTTGTGTAGAGCGTAAAATCAAGAGTATCGGCATCTCAAAGATCTCTCAAGGGCATCATTTCACGTTTAAGGCAGACTATACAACATAATTTCGTCTTTGGTACACGAGACCAGTAAATTTCCGTCGCAATTCAAACATTGACCTTTAATATTGGTGTATTTGCCCAATACACCCTCACCGAGAGCATAGACCGTCACACCAGCAGGTCTCTGGATAGCCAGAACGTCATTATTGTCCAGAATAAATCCCGTGATAGTTGAACTCTCAGCAAAATTGGTGGATTCTTGCGAATCCACCAGATCCACAACTGTCAAAAAACCACTCTGTTTCATCACAGCAAACTTAGAACCCACCTGACAATCTATTGGTTGTTTGAAGGAAACATGTTTGTCCTTTTCCGTCTTGGAATTTAGCAGAAATAGTCCAAACGGTCCGAAAGCCACGACATCAAAGAAGGGAATGTCCTCAGAGAACTTTAAAGCTGTTGCCTGTGTCACTTTGAAAGAGGTGATATTCAAAACATGTTTTTTCTCCAAGCTCTTAGTGTTGATATCTAGAGTTGCCAATTCAATCGTGCTCTGCTTTCCAATTAAAACTGCGTGGCTCGATGGCTTGAAAGCCAGATGCGATATCGTTTCACCAGAAACATGAATCACCGTTGTCGTCATATCCGAGAGATCTATCAATAGCACAGAGTATTGAGTTGCTACCAAAATCCTGGAGGGCCTGCAACTGATAATTTCAACTATTGAATCGTCCAGAACGAAACTCTTCACTGGAGTCAAGCTCTCGTCAAAAATTTGAAGGGTGTTAGAACGAGACACACCAATGATGTTTGAACCGCTGACTGTCACCATCGTGATATCTGGTATTTTGGCCGAAAAATTCAGAATTGCGGTTACCTCAACAGGATCTTCTGACGTGATCGTTTCCGCATCACTCTCGGACTTGAGATCGTCAACCGTGGGTTCAGTCAGCCTCCTGGGCGGTAGATCTGGGTGTCTGAGAGGTCTGGTTTCCGGAGTAACATCCCTCTCTACAGCAGGTGAATCACTAAACCGCGGTTCTGACTTTCCCAGATTCAGAGGATCAGCACTTTCAACAACAGGAGAGTTCAAGAGATAAAGGATCTCGCTAGTGGTAGTCTTTAAAAACTGCCTGGCTCTCAACAGCTTTGCAACATCGACTGTTTCTAGCTGTAAATTTGCCAAACTGTCCTCAATTTGATCGACTGTATCCGGTTCGTTAACCTGAAGCTTCTTCTCCAGATCCCTCACCTTCAGTATCAGTCTCTCGTTCAGCAACTTTAACGAGTTTCTTTCGCCTTCGAGTTCAACAATTCTCGCCTTGAGATTAGACCTTTCCAGCTCGTTGGTCATTCTATTCTTTTCCACTATTGTGAATTGAGACTGCAAGTACTGCATTATTCCCGGAAGGGTGTAGTTTGGCGTTGTCTGGTCCATTGGAAGATATGTATGTTGATGTGCTTAATTTGTAGCTCTGTAATTAATGTTGATATTCAATGATGCTTTCGTACAATCAACGAGCCTTCCATTACAGTCTCTCAATACTTCTTGGGACTTTTGCCTTGTTGTCCTCGCCTCAATAAGGTGCTTTGAGCCACGCGCGTGATGCTTTCGTTCCTGAGTCGTAAAGTGCTGTTTTTTTCGGGGAATTCTGCTCTATTGGGATAGAGAAGTGATCGGAGATTGAATGCCAGTTCTTAACCCAATATTAATAGAATAATGGTGTAGGAGTGTTCAGTGTTGTGAAACGATGCTTGATCTAACGCTTGGTCTGAGGGGAGGATAGTGATGTTTTTTGTAGTGCATGAACGAATGTACGAAGCACGACCATAATCATCTTCAGCTTTTGTCTCTAGTGCTCTTTATCAGTTCTCTTCTCTTCAAAACTGCTATCACTAAGAAAAAAGGTAGACACCGGAAGTTTTGCAGGTTATTGATACCGAAGCGGAGATTCATACCAGGGACCTTTTTTTCCGCTGTTATGCGCGCTGGTACGCAGTCAAATGGCCCCTAGTGTTTCTTCAGTCCCAAACATGGATGTAAAAGCCACGAAAAAGACACGCTCGCGATTCGGATGCCATGTTTGTAAGCGAGCAAAGATTAAGTGCGACGAGCAGAAACCGCATTGTGGCAATTGTGTGAAGGCAAATAAGACATGTGATTACAGTGTGAAGTTAACGTGGGGTGGAAGACCTTATAAGAAAGCTCGGAAGGAGAACGCGATAAATGGCAAGCATACGAAACCTGCAATTAGTGGTGATGTTAACTCAGACTCCGTGTTTCTACTCAAAAGCTTGACACCTCCGCTGGTAAAGCTGGAATCGCCTCAGCCGCACACAGAACCGTTTGAAAGTACGCATACCCTTCTCAGTCATCAACCTCCAACCTCTCAAAATACCCTTTTGACATCAGCGCAAACGCTGTCAAATGTGCTCAACTCTTTGGCACCCGAGAATTTTGATTTTGGCCGAGTGAACTTCCTTAATGACCTAGTAGACCCGACCGATACGGTTTCGAGCTCGGGTTCTCCGCAGAACTTCCTTTTGAACTCCAAAGGTTCCGAATTATGGCCGGTTGATTTTGCTCATGATACAGCCAGTTTTTTGGGCAACTACGCTGAAGATCTGAGCTGCGTGGAAAAGTTGGTGGAGCCCAGTGGTGCTTTGGTGGAGTTGCCTTTAAAGGACCGGAAGTCAATTCCGAGGCCACCGAGGTTTGCAGATGCCGGTGGAAACGGGGAAGACGAAGAAGAACCTGGAGATCTCATTCCTATCAAAAAGAAGTCGACATGGGCAAATGAGCACGAATTTGTGGTCCCTCGGAAGTCCCGGTCACCTCAGCAGGTTACGGAAATACCCCGAGGACTTCTTCCCTTGCCAGACATCCTGCTCTCGGTTCCATACTACTGGGACTCGTTCCGTTTTTTCAGTGATGTCACCGCAAGCATGCTGGTACCTGCTGACGGATCACTATACAAATCCAATCCCTTCAAAGTGGTTCTTCCGCGAATGGCAATGGCTAGCGATTCGGTCATGACTCTACTGGTGGCATTTGCCATAGAGCACCGTCGCAGACTGCTCGGAAAGCCCGAGCCGAAGGAAATTGTTGATCAGCTGCTTTCGCGCGCTTTGAAAGAACTGCTCATATTGCTACAGAACGAGGAAACCGCCACTGGCGATCTGGCTCTCACTCTGGTACTTCTGTTCAGTTCCTTCGATCTTTTCAGTTTGCGACCACAGAGATGGAAGATCCATATCAAAGGTGCCAAACAGATTCTTTACAAAAGAGGCTTACACCGGCCTTTTGACAAATTCAGCAAGCAGCTGGTTCAAAAAACGCAGCAGATAGGCTTGCATTTGACTGCAGATACCGCTACAGGTTTATCTGGCGAATCGAACCTAGTGTACTTTTTGATCCGGTGGTATGCATACATGGAGAACATGGGCATGCTCGCCACCCCACTAGAGCCGACTTCGGAGGAAGTACAAAAATTTGCTGCTCAAGCACGGTCACAGGTTGGTAATTGGATTGTCACCGCACAAATAAACGATAGTCCACTCGATTACAATATTTCTTCCAAGAACCCAGCTACATTCGAGTCGCACCGCGATGTTGATTACTTCCTCGGCTTCAACATCAAGGTGCTACCCCTTTTTGCAAGATTGATAGAGCTCATCCAAAAGGTGAACATAGTACTGAAATTGTCAGATTCGCCTGAGCGGAGATTGCCGCAATCACTTGTGGTTGCTGCTACAGAGCTGCGCTCGGAGTTTTTGGAATTGATCCAATGGCCCATACCAAAAGAGATAACAGATGGAAGAAAAGCTGAACTTTTGGCCGTTAATCATGCCTTCATTTTGACTGGCTTACTGAATCTGTACACGCGAGTGCTGCTAGTTCCCCAGGATTCGGCCGTGGTCCAACAGGTTTGCCGTGAAATCCTGTCGTCCTCCTCAAAATTTGTCAAACACGGGTCTCCTGCAGACATGTGCTGCATCTGGCCATACTTCTGTGCGGGATGCTTTGTTGTTGATCCGGCGAGCAGAGCTTTTTACAAGCAGAAGTTGATCCGGATGGGTCAACAGGCGAGCATGGGCGCGCCCAAGGCATTGAAGGTGATGGAACGGGTCTGGGAATCCGGAAAAACCTGGATGCAGTTGATGCTAGATGAGCATGCAGAGTTGGTATTTTTGTAGAGGACTACGTCTGTGAGAGGCCTTTGAGATGAGCCAACGCAATAGCCAATGCAAAAGAACCGGAAATGAGCCCATGAATTAACGCTCATGTTGAAAAGTTAGCCAGGTAAAAAACCGCAACCAAAACTCTTTACAATGTCCCTCGCATCTGAAATATTATTGTCATATTCACACTATTAATGTACAGGTAATGTTGTTTATGCATGCAGTCTTCGGCATATTCTGGGGTAGATGCAGAGCATCGTGGAGATGATGTGTAGTTTTTCCGTGGTACGTCCGAAGAATCTCCGAAAATTCCCCGAAGTGCCTTGGTAATTTTCCATATTGTTCCGTAAGTCTCTCTTCACAGGCCGAACTATCTGAAATCATCTTTGAAAAAAAAACAACGAAAGTCCCCCTTGCCTCTCTCGCTCTATTTATAGTATAATGCAATACTCCCTCTGCATCTATCTTTCTTCTACTCCTTACTCGTTGGTCTCGACCACCATTCGCATATTTTCAATCAACACTGCAAACTCTGGAACTGGTAAGGCATATGCACATCCAGCCATGTCAAAATGAAAAAATCCACCCTCATAAGATGGATCAACCCAAAGAATCTCGTCCGAAGCAAGCTTGCGGCCCAGCAACTTCCAGATGCGCCAGTATCGCAGCTCCGAGGAAGTCTCGACCAAAGCATTAATACCGATGCATTGAGAAAGGTTTCGCGAACTTCCAGCTAGTTCATCGCGTAGAGGCAAGTTTGATTGCATATCGACAATTATCTCGGCGTGGGATGGAGAGGTAACGTAATAGTCTCCTGCTTGGACACCACCTGGTCCTGAGCGAATACGCTGAAGAGCCCCTTTTTTATCCGGATCGGGTGAAATCTGCGCAAGATCAGGCTCATACGCATTGCATGTTGGTATATGGGAGTTCACAAAGGTCTCGCGAAAAACGGTATCTTGCTCCGCGTCCAGTTCGAATGAGATATTCTGGAGATGATCCGGCCGAACCAAAGTAGACGCATACATCCGCGCCGGTGTATCAAAATCCGGATCGATGACGCGCGACGAAGTAAAAGGATCATCTAGTTTTGGAACATCACATCTGTCTAGGTTGTAGGCGTCTTCGAGAACAAGACCGTTTTGGACTTTTCTGTGTGGCTGTGCAGCTTCAGCAACAGGTCTGACTTTGTCCAAATAACTCGGTAGATGCTGTTGCACAAAGTTGTACATATGGTCATCAAGGTATAGATATGGCAATCGTTTCGAGAACCAATAATTGTCTGTGAGCATAGTTTGAAGCACTTCCTTCACCTGCTCGACGGTATAGGGAATCGCCGAGGAAGCATCGTACCACAAGGGATGGGCTTCTGTGGAAAAAACCACATTAGAGAGCTTCGAATGAATCTCATTAGAATCATCAAATAGTAAAACAAGATACTTGAGGGTTTCTCCTATAACGAAACTCTCCATGCGGTCCTGCCGTTCACCTGAACGAACGTCCTGCATGCCGGAAAAACCACAATCCTCACGGAACAACTCCTGCAGCCTTTCCACAAAATTTGCAGCAATCTGCAGATAGAGAGGATCCTTAGTTGCTCGGTAAAGGTGGTAGGTGCTTTCGATATATTCGGGCCTCAGAGGCCACCATTCGAGCGAAACGGCCCCGTCAATGGACGGAGCAAGCGATTGGAAGTTCCAGCGTTCTGGAAGCCCACCAAAGGCATTCCAAACCTTCGAAAACAGCCCGTGAAATCGCTGAGCTGTAGAAATATCCCCCGAAAGAACCTGTAAACCTGGTAAAAAAGCACTGAGTGAATCTATCCATGGTGTGACGACGGTACCGCTCTCGAAATCGAGATTGAAAGCGAGAAAATCGCCAGAATGCTTTAAAACAGCAGCATAAACATCATCCCACACTCCTGCAAATCTCGAATCGTCAAACAAAATCGCAAATTTGAGTGCATACTCGTAGAATGAATCGATGGAAGCTCCGGCTCCGGAAACTCTATCCAGCCATTTACCATCATAAGGATCCAGGGTCATGGCTAAAAGATCCCGATCAGAACGCATATTCCACACCATTCCAAACGCATTCACACTCCAAAGCTCAAACCTTGGATCACCACTAAGACGTGAAAGGAGTGTCATTTCGAGCACTGGAGTGGATACCCCAGATGTACACGCGAGGCTCTGCGCACGTTTTGGAACTGCTGCTGGACCTTTCGCCAGATTAGTACGAGGAAATGGAAATCGCGTTGGTGACTCATACGCAAGTACTAGCCGTGCTCCGAGGTCCTTGGCGAGCTCCAAAAGAAAGTTATCGTATTGATCCGGGATCAGACGCAACGCGAACAGGTGCCCAGATAACAGCCCTCCCAAAATACGAATGTCCGTCTCAAATACCTGCACCGTTGTATCCCGGTTAAATAGCACGCGCGAGTCCCAAAACTGCTCTCTAACCATCGAAACCGCCTCAGCAAACCGTGGAACGTCGCCTAACAGGGCTAGCGTATCCAGATTATCAATCAAGGTCGACGAGAAGTTGCCGCATGAGTCATTGATAGCAGTGTCATCAAGATCGCGTGAAGGACCAAGTGGCGCGCAAGAGATGGGTCTTACTTCATCCGCTGGGAAACCATGTTTGAGGTAGGAGCCCCACGCGAAGTCGAAGAGATCAAGAGCTTTTTGGTGGAGCTCCTCCGTCGTCATCACCGACGGCGCGGGATCTGCCTGACATACTCCAAAGATGCATATCAAAAGCAGGAAAAGCTGACCGAGGAGCATACGGCCGAGATCAAGCTGAGTTGGGTCGTATACGAAGAGAGAAAAGCAAGCGAGGTGCTTAAGGTGAAGATGGAGATGCCGATGGAGATGGTGATTGTCGTGCTTGTACTATATTGTGGCCGCACCCGCGAAAACAGGGGTAAAGGTGAAGAATTGGGTGATTTTGGAGATATGAAGAGTTTTTGAGAGGGCATTGGGGCTTGAAGTTGGGAAGAAGTTGGGAAGAAGTTAATCTGAGAAAGTGATTTTGTAATATCAGAGGCTTTTATAGGAAGGACAGAGGATTACAGAAAGTACTGAGTACCTTTGGCATTATCAGTGATACCAAAACTAAACGTCCCGGTCATTCCCGACGACACCAGAAGTACTATTGTTCACAAGATCACTAATCCAGCTCTAATTTCTGGCATTACCAGTAATAGTACCGCCAATCGTTGCCAGTAAACCCTGCAGATCACTAACAGACTACTCTTATAGGCACTCTTACTAAAATCCTATTATTCTGATCCGACCCTAATCCCGGCATCATCCGCGGGCATATAGTCTGATCCTTCTGCATTCTGCAGTTTTGTTTGCATAATCCTCAGCTGTCACTTGCTACTAGTAAATCCTCGCCTACTATCATTCATGATGGCATGTCATCTCCTGGTGCGATCCACGAACCCCATCTTACCACAACTCTATCTCCAGTGGCACGGATTAGTCCAATGGCTTATATATACAACTACCGCTGCCAACAACACTGGAGATCCAATTTAAGAACGAAAATCCCCCTACATCCTTCTGTATCCACATTTTGTACTCAAATTCCACTAAAAGTCGTGCCTACGCGACTCATCATCTACCGGCTCACACAATCTCCATGGCTAACGACGATAACACCATTCAACGTCCGCCAGAATAGCACTGAAATCCTCAAACTTCCACCTAGTAATCTCCCAAATTATCACTCTATATCTTACAAAATTAACACCAAAGCCTCCTCAGTTATAGTCGTTTACGCTCTCTTCCTTGAGTTTTCTTTCTTCGTAATGACACTACCTTTTCTATTTCTAAGGCAACACCCATCGCCGCTCCCTTCCTCCTCTTCTTCCTTCCGCCCCCAAAACCACCACAACAAAACCTCAAAAACACTCCCGTTTTCCCGCGAAAAATGGCTGAATTCGCAAAGAACCTGTTCTTTGGCAATTTTCACCAGTCGCACGAGCCTTCCCAGGCTGCCGGGCCTCAACCGGCCTCGCCTCAGGCCCAGGATCCCGTTTCAGCCCCCGAAAGCCACCCGGGAAAGCTGTCGCCGCGCTTGTTCCCAAACATGGTCCAGACATCGCTGCCGACGACAGCGCTGAATGACCAGGAGTTTGCGGTTGGGACGACTATCCGTTCTAAGATGCCGGTAGAAGCTGCGAAGAGTAAGGAGGAGACCAAGTATGGGAGCACAAATGGACAGAGTGGGCTCAGTGGATTTTCTTCTAATGGACTTGGTGGATTTGCCGGAGCAGCAGTGCCAGGGGTAAATCCGACGAACGGTTTGAACGCTTCAAACTTGGCCTCTGCTCCTGTTCCCACAGGAGCACAAGCGCAAGCAGCATTGCCTCGTGGTAAACTACGCGTAACCATCGAAGAGGCCACTGATCTCAACATCACCGCTGAGCACTCATCTCCATACGTTGTGGTGACATTCCAGAGCTCGGAGTCTATCACTACGGGACCGAAGTCGTTCGACAGTTCCAGACCACGGGATCAACCGCACAGAAAACAATTGATCCCGCGCCAATCGACCCGCCAGGGAGACTCTTTCCACTCTCACCCGATATGGCACCACCAGGCCACATTTGATGTGGTTGAAGAAGCTGCAGAGCTCGATATTTCCATTTATGACCACTTCCAAAAGGATCTGTTTTTGGGGCACGCAAGTGTGGCACCGCGTCTGGACCAGCTGGCAAACGAGGAGCGTTGGTTGGTACTCGAGCCTCGTATCCTTGGCGAATCTGTAACAGGAAAGGTGCGTGTTAAACTGGAGTACTCGGCAGTAGGAAAGAAACATTACGGGCCCAACGATTTCGACGTGCTGAGATTGCTAGGGAAAGGAACGTTCGGCCAGGTGTTCCAAGTCAAGAAGAAGGATACCGGCAGAATTTACGCCATGAAGGTGCTCTCGAAGAAGGTGATTGTTAGGAAGAAGGAGATCGCCCACACAATTGGCGAGCGCGATATCCTGGTGAGGACTTCTTCTATAGAGTGTCCCTTTATCGTGGGACTGAAGTTTTCATTCCAAACCCCGTCAGATCTCTATCTAGTCACCGATTACATGTCTGGTGGTGAGCTTTTCTGGCATTTGCAGAAAGAAGGCCGTTTCTCGGAGGATCGTGCCAAATTCTACATCGCAGAGTTACTATTGGCTCTGGAACATCTCCACGACAACGACATTGTGTACCGTGACCTGAAACCAGAGAATATCCTGCTTGATGCGAATGGACACATTGCCCTCTGTGATTTTGGCCTGTCGAAGGCCAATCTTACAAGCTCAAATGGAACCACAAACACATTTTGCGGAACCACTGAGTATCTGGCGCCCGAAGTACTACTCGACGAGAGCGGATACACCAAGATGGTAGATTTCTGGTCTCTTGGAGTGTTGATCTTCGAGATGTGTTGCGGGTGGTCGCCTTTCTACGCAGACAACACCCAGCAGATGTACAAGAACATTGCGTTCGGGAAAGTGCGCTTTCCAAAGGAGATTTTGTCTTCTGAGGGCCGTTCTTTTGTTAAAGGGCTGCTTAATCGTAACCCAAAGCATCGTCTAGGTGCTCTCAACGATGCTCGCGAGCTCAGAGCTCATCCTTTCTTCAACGACGTTGATTGGGAGCTACTGAGACACAAAAAGATCCCACCTCCGTTCATTCCTCATCTGGCGTCTGAGATGGACACCTCGAATTTCGACCCGGAGTTCACCAACACCTCGACTTCTATGATCAACAAGCAGATGATGATGATGCTGGGGTCTACTCCGCTCAGTGAGGCCATCCAAGACAATTTCAAGGGTTTCACTTACGTGGATGATAGTATGGTTTTCGACCATTTTAACTCTGCCGGGAAAAGATTTCCAGGTTCGTTCAAGCACCCGGTACCTGCTAGTTTCCACATTCCGGTGATGATGCCTAACGACCCAAATTTGCCTGCTGAGGAGGAGGTTATTGAAGAGGAAGAGACCAAGGATGAATACGAGGATCACATGGATGTTGATGATGAATTTGTCAACGGCCAGTTTGATTTGTAAGAGCTGTGTTCAAAGGTTTAATTTGTCAAGCAAAAGATCTCAAGCTTCTTCCCACCTCAAAGCCACTGTTTGCTACCCCTTGGGCCTTTTAGAGCTGTTGATTCGGTCTTGGATCGTTTTTACTACCGTTTCCCGCGAATTTACGCGGTTTTGTGCGGGGTCCCGACTGGCGTCGGGATCCTGAGTTAATAGACATTTGTGACGTCATCTGGCACTTGTTCTGCCGATTTTGGAGAGGCTATTGTTTGAATTTAACATAATACCAGAAGGATATAAATAAATGAGTGAGAATGAGAGATTACGTAAAAGGGGGTGAAATGTGCTATACTCAAACGGCTCAACAGAAAGGCAGAATAGTGTGGGGACCAATTTCATATCTCCCGAAGTGGGACCAGCCTCAGCCGTCCCAAGTGCTGCGTCCCACATAGCTCTGCTCGAACTGCTACAACATGAGAATGTTGTTGGAGCTGAGTCTCGCAGTCAAGTCCCAGCTTTGTTGTCTCTTTTGTTCTTGTAGAATTTGTCTTATATCACCAACTAGCAAGTTATTTTGGGCTCCTCTATCAACTTTTATATTTGATACTCCTTGCTCGTTTGATGCATTGAAATAGTGCTATTCTTAGAATCAATTTGCTTGCTGAGTCTGTGTCAGAGTGCTATAGCTGTTTCTTCCCACTAGTTGTCCAATCCGACATTTATTTGCAAGACTTACAAAACTCGCAAATCCAATTCTCCTCCCCTGAGAATAATCCCATTTTAGTTGTTATTTTACGGCTATATCTCGTCTTGCTATTCTTTTGCTCCACAGGCTTCTCCACAGGCTGATACACAGGCTGATCCATTCTCCGTGTGAACAAACCGATTCCCACCGATCTGGACTCAAATACTGACCCAACTCTGCTTGCAGATTGCCCTGATTCTCCTTTTATCCCGTTTTTTGTTCTCTTTATTCTCTAATTCCTGTTCTTCCGTCCTCCGAGTTTCTCTCTTCTTCACCCCCACACGACCATCCTGGTACCTGTGACGCAGTCTGCCATTTCACACCGGTCCCGGCATTCACACACTCTCATTACCACGCCAAGAGCCCTACGGTTGTACCCACAAATCAAGAGTTGACCCGAAATCCGCACCTGGGCTGGACTATTTCATCTGACTAGTGGGTTTTCACTTAGTTTCGTTTCTCAACAACAAGATTTCAAGTTTCAAGTATCTTTGACTAGTCTCACCTTCCCTTGTAGGTGACGACCACTCCTGTGCCTACGCTTACAGACCCTATTGAAAGAACCTACCAGAACTGAAATTCGCTCTTTTCAATCAGAGATGTCTGTGAAACAAGAGACAATGGACGACATTCAACTCAAAGAGAACCCTGGCTCGACAGACTTCGTTAAGAAGCTGTTCCAAATGCTGGAAGATGACTCCTACAAGAGTGTGGTCAGGTGGACCGACACTGGAGACTCTTTTATCGTGATCGACACCAACGAGTTCACTAAGGAAATTTTGCCCAAGCACTTCAAACACTCCAACTTTGCCAGTTTTGTGCGCCAGCTCAACAAATATGACTTCCACAAGGTTAAACTGTCCAGTGCGGAGAAGAAGAACATTCGTTCGACCGGCCTGGACGAAAGCACCTGGGAGTTCAAGCATCCAGATTTCCGTGCCCACGATATAATGAGACTGGAGAACATCAAACGAAAGGCTCCACTTCCAAAGAGACCCGAAGAGGCAAACCAGAAGTCGATTTCGAAACTGGAAAAAGAAATTGGCGTGCTCAAGACAGAGATAAAGTCTGTTAGCTCTGCTTTGAAACTTACTCAGTCCAAGTACAATACTTTGGTCGAGAGCTTTGTTCACATGAAAAGCTCTCACGACATGTATGCTAGCTCGATTTCGACTCTCGCCTCTTCGCTCGTGGCTGCGGGAATAAAGGTTCCTCCGTTAGAACTCCCGCAGACCACTGCCACTTCCACAAAGACCTCGCAACCGGTATCGGTATCGGTTTCTCCTGGAAATAAGATTTTGCAGTTGCAAAAACAATCCCAGAAGTCTCCAACTGTCGAGCATACTCCGCTGGTGACACCAAACCCATTCAGAAGACCCAGCGGATCGCCCATACATGTGCTGCTGGTGGAAGACGATGTCGTCTGCATCCAGCTCTGTCGCAAGTTTTTGATGAAATACGGCTGCACAGTTGAGGTTGTGACAGACGGATTGGGTGCAATCAGTATTGTTGAAAAGGTGAAATTTGACCTCGTTCTGATGGATATTGTGATGCCCAATCTGGATGGTGCTACTGCCTCTTCGATCATCCGGTCTTTCGACAGCGACACTCCAATTATCGCCATGACGGGAAATGTTCAAGATAGTGATTTGCGCACATACTTGGATCACGGAATGACAGACATCCTGGCCAAGCCCTTTTCCAAAGACGACTTGTACCAAATTCTCGAGAAGCACCACATGAATAAGCGGCCGCTACCCATCGCTGACCCGGTTCTGAACGGGGAGAATGCAGCTGTGGACCTCTTTCAGACACCGGAACCTAATGCGCTTGGCACGGTTGTGACGCCTGTTCTGGACCCGGTTGTCGGAACGGTTGTTTCTGTGGGTGACATCATCGAGTCGGATATTCAGATTCCTAAAAGGCAGAGAATTTGAAAATTATAGAGAGAAACCACCAGTTTGAGCTGACCGCTGTTGATCACCATCGGCCACCAGTATACCCACAAAATTAAGGGCATCACAACCAAATACAGGTAATGTGTTGCCGAAAACTGAGGCCGCTAGCGACCTCGATGTATCTTTAGTTAACCAGTGTAATCTTATAGGAGAAGGATGGAAATTTTACTCGTTTTTCGTAAATAAGACAGCTGCAAAATCTGATTTCTATATGACCTCACGCTCTAACTAACGGCAATCACCTTCTCGTCAAACCGCACGGACTTCCTTCTGCCCTTTCCAACATCCTCGGGAACACCAAGCTCAAACTCTTGACCACCTTCAAGTAAATCCTTGATCTTGACTCGTTGGCCAGAAACCGAAGATCGCGAGTTAGATCTGGAGTTGGATCTTCGTCTTTCCTGAAGTTTCAGTTCAGCTTCACACTTGGCACAATTGCATATGAACCCATAGCCTTCACGAAGTTCTCTTCTGCGATGAATAACGCCATGGCTAGGGTTCACATACGATACCGTGAGTTCTTCATCCTTAACAATGTCACGTATAGCATAGGCACGTATCGCACCCTTCTCGGACTCAATTCGTACGTTTGGAGCGCAATCGTGATTCACTCTGGAGAGCAATAGATAGATGCTATTCTCATACTCATTCAGGTGAAATCTTCCCAGATACTCCAAGAATTCGGCATATTCCAACCGGTCTTCCTCGTGGACAAAACACGCATTTAATTTTTCAAGACCCTCGGCCCAAACCTGTGAGTCCCAACTGGACTCATCGCCATCACTGGTCTCGAAACTGCTTCTAACCTGGGATTTCACTCGAACATCCTGTCTGACCTTCGCCTGAGAAAGCCATTGGGGGCCCAATATTCCTGTTTTGTCTAGCAAAATACGCGACCTAATCACTGCGATGGCAAATAACCCGTTCCAGTCCTTTTCATGACAAAAGTCCTGGAGCTCTAGCCATTTGGTCGAGTTAACCAATCTCTTGGATGTGGAATGAGACAGCGTAGCGTGGATGGCACCATCGGCCTCCTTACACTTGATAGAACACCAAACAGCCTCACATTTGTTACAATCGAGTCCCAGTTTCACGTTGGCACCATCTTTTCTATTCGGAAGAGCTCCACCACAGTGTGCACATCGATCACCCAGTTTCACCAGCTTCAAAATGTCCAATGTCAGAATGAATACCAAAGGCGATTCCTGCCAAATCAAAGTACCCTCGGATATTCCAGCTGTTGCAAAAAGTCCTGAGCTTTTTCCTTCAGCCATTTCACGTTCCTCGACGTTTTCGGGAAGGGCCTCAGACAGACCTGGGGTAGATCCCGACGAGATCTGGTCTATGTAGGTATATGCATACTCCGGATTAATATCCTGCAGAAGTCCATTAACCTTCAGAATCTTCCGGAGTCGTTTTTCTGACACCACCCACAACGGGTGGTCGGTTTTGAGACTCTGGTGTAGTCTGGCAACACCGTAGTCTTCGGCCGATGAATCCAGCTTCCATAGCTGCATCAGAAAGTCGATGATCTCGGTGTCTGACGGCACAACCGGTTCCTCTAGAATGGGATTTTCCGGCTTATCGTTAATTTCAATGATCTCTATTCTCGGCTGCGTTATCATTGGGCTTTGTGTGGTGTTGTTCGGAGCACTTTTGGTGATTTGGCAGTCATTCCAGCAAGTGACACCTTTTGGCGGCAAGTCTCGTGATCAGTGGGGTCGTGTGCATGTGTCAAGATTAGAGGCCGACTGCCATTTGGCCCCGGGTATCTCAGCACAGGTATAGAACGGGGCAACATGCATTTACAAAGTATTCCGTTTCCAAACTCGGTTTCCAAACTCCTTTTCGTGGAAATCTCTGTCAAATGAGAGTTTTGCTAGAATTCAGATCTGGTCTGATGACTGGAAGGCTTCTTGCCCCAAGAACAGGCTCAATCACGTTGCTTGCACTGAGACGCCTCAGTCAGACTTCCCGCCGCTTAGCGCAGCCCTACGACGATAAACCCAGTCTAGACAAGATCATGAAGAAGTATGAGGCTCAATTTGAGATTGCCAAAAGTGTGCATGAGCGTCGCAAACTGAGTTCTCAACTGGACAAAGAAATTGCCGATATTCGCGATGCTTCCAGCACGCCCCCACCATCTGACGCCTCCAAGACAGAGTCCAAATACAAGTCTTCAAAGGGCAAAAAGAGAAAGTTCAAGACTCTCAAGGTGGCAATCTGGGGTTTTCTGATTGGAGCTGCCTTTTCCAAATTTGTTCCTGCATATACCTTGTACGACAAGTATGTTCTGGGAACATTGCCTACAGACCCGATCTCTACGGAAGAGTACATTACCGCTCTCGAAAATCAGCTGCAGAACCTGGATGTGGTCAAGCAGCTATATCAAGACCCCCGGTATCTTTCTTTTCGTGCGTGGGAAAATTTGGAGGCCAATTCATTAAAGGAGACAATGGTTAACTCGACGTTGGCAACACCGGGTGGGTTTGCAGTTGAGCCTCTGATCTTTCTGGATCCTATTTCAAAAGAGTCGGTCACGATTATGCACGTGGGAAGAAGGTTGTGTGGATATCCAATGCTGGTTCACGGTGGAATTCTAGCCACAATATTGGATGAGAATCTGAAACGGTGCAGTTTGACTGAGTTCAAACAGCGGTATCCCACTGAGACTGCACGGATGTCCTTCCGAGATGAAAGATCATATGCAAACATTCACGCGGAGAATCTCACCCTTCAGTACCGCTTTCCTACTCTGGCGAACAGGTTCATAGTGATCAGGGCTAAGTGCGTTGGCGCCACAGAAGATTCTGTCGAAGTACAGGGATTAATCACTACGACTAAGGGAAGGCCTTTGGTCAAGGGCACATCTACTCTGACGATGAACGTGAAATCCAAGCCGGAATCGACGCGCAACGGCTGGTTTTGGCATTGAGTTGGGACCACGTATAGCCCACGTGTAGCCCAGCGATAGCGTAAGCGGTGGGGGTTCTTCCAGGACGGATAGTCGGTAACTGCTTTTGTTTTCCATTTTTATAACGCTTCATTTATATACCGGTCTCATTGGCCATTTACTTATTGCATTCGTTCTACCAACCAAGCACAGCCACACGCATGCTTAGTCCAGCCACTTGCGGGTGTGGCTGACGTGATGAGATTATGGTGGAGAGCCCAGTCTAATAACAACACGATGAATCGCCACCGGAACGTTATCAACGCTAGCGATCAGAACTAAAAGCGAGTCAAAATGTCTGCGATTCCAAGTGAGTAGTATCAGCCACTACGGCTTATCGATTGTTTTTTTTGAATCCCACTAACCGACTCAGTTACGATCAAGAACGCCGGCAAGACGTACGATCTGGAGATCGATCCTGAAGAAACTGGATTAACACTCAAGAACCAGATATACTCGCTCACGAATATCCCTCCAAATCGCCAAAAGATCCTTCTGAAGGGTGGACAACTCAAGGATGACTCTGTTTTGGGCAATTTCAAGTTTCAGCCCAAGCAGGTGGTGATGGTTCTGGGTACTCCAGACGCAACATCTCTTAAACTGGACGAGAAAAAGGTCACGTTTCTGGAGGATGTCAGTAGCGACTCTTCGCTTGCCAAACTGAAAAACGAGCCTGTTGGTCTGGTCAATTTGGGCAATACCTGTTACTTGAACAGCTCGTTACAGGCGCTTCTTGGAGTTGGTGAGCTGAGAAAGGAGCTTGAGAATTACCAACCGTCAGGTTCGAGCAGCGGCAATTTCATTCTGTTTTTGAAGCAACTTTTTGAGAAGCTTTCAGCCAAAGAGGACAAGGTTGTGCCCTTGAATTTTCTGACTAGCTTGAGGTTGCAGTTTCCCCAGTTCAGCGAGAGATCCGAGCACGGTCAATATAAGCAACAGGATGCCGAGGAGGCATTCTCGCTGATTCTCAACGATGTTTTGAGACAGTTTGGGTCTTTGGAGAATTTCTTGAAGATCGGTTTGGCTGTTTCGACCAAGTGCCTCGAAACAGAGGAGGAGCCAGTGACCTCGTTTGAAGAATCGTTGAAGTTGGATTGTCATATCAACATCAAGACCAACTTTTTGAAAGATGGTTTGGTGAACAATCTAAAAGAAACCATTCAAAAAAATAACGATTCACTTGGAAGAGATGCTCAATACGAGATCTCCAGGAAAATCGTCAGGCTGCCAAAGTATCTCACAGTCCATTTCATGAGGTTCTTCTGGAGAAGGGACACCAACAAGAAATCCAAAATTCTTAGAAAAGTTCAATTCCCCTTCCAACTAGATCTCACCGATTTGCTAGACGATTCGGTAAGAGAGAGCAAGTCGGTCATCAGGGACAAGATTTACAAGATCGAGAAGGACAACGAGGAGGAAGCCCGTGACTTCAAGAAGGCCAAGAAATCGCAGAGCGATATCACGCTTTCCGCAAGAGAAAAGGAGCAGAAACAGAAGGAGGACTTGGAGAAGCTCCAGTCCAAATGGACCAAAAGTTACGAAAGCGCGTTTCCCGAGGACTTTGACCCAGCTAGTGGTGAAAACCCAAGCTCTTTGTACGAGCTTCAAAGTATCATCACTCACCAAGGCTCGTCTGCTGACTCCGGTCACTACCAATGTTTCGTCAAGGATGAGCTTGACCCAACGGGCGAGAGATGGTACAAGTTCAACGATGCCATCGTCACCGTCGTCAGCAGGGACAAAGTAGAGCAACTTGCCGGTGGAGGAGAGTCTGATAGTGCGCTTATTTGTCTCTACAAGGCGGTGGGGTTAAAATAAATTAGACCCACGAATCGACATAGCGGAGTAAAATATACAAAAAAGTGAGATTTTCTTGCGTTTTCTACGTGAAAAATTCCACGCTTTGGTGATATTTCGGTGTTTCAACGTAATTGAAGCGATGCTTTAGGCGTTATCTAAGGGCGACAGTTCATGCATTCTCGTATAGCTTTCGCTCAAAAGTGTATCCTATAGGTGTATCATATACTCTTTGCTAGGAGTTATCCTTCGTAGTTCCCGCTAAACAATCGTCTCAAAGACTCCTCGTAGATCGTTTCTCAAAGCAATTCCTTCATGTCCTTCATTTGCTCTTTAGCGATCTTCCCCTTCTAAATTGCACTGCTCAACTTCTTGAAAGCCTCCGCTTCGGCCCAACAATTAAGTGGCTTGCCCTTGTTGTCTCTCAAACAATCAGCAACCTTGGCCTCGGCAGCCTTGAGATCCGCACTTTTGACCGGTTTGGCCTTCTCAATTGCATCTAGTGCTGCTGTTATTCTATCGATCTTGTCGCTAACACCAGCTACTGACACCGACGACGTGTCCTTCTTGGGTGTCAATGCTTCCTTCAATCCCTCATCAAATTTCAATTGTGACTCTTTTTCCAGCTTGCTGAGCTCCGCAGAAACCCGCTTCTGGATGTATGTTTCGGCATACTGCTGTCTGGTGTAGTCCGATTCCAGCGACGAGTCCAGCTGCGCCAATAGCGAAGAGCTGAACTCCACGGGAGTGTTCGGAACAAAAGTCTTGACCTCCTGTTGAGGTTTTGACGCTGAGCTGCCCATTTTTGTGTGTGTTGTTCAACGATTGGTGGTGGTTGATTTAACGTTGACTCGGCCAAACAGGTTTGGCTTGAGTGCGATCTAATTGGCCAGGGTAGTGTGTTGGCGAAATAAGCAGACACAAAGTCTGCGACTAAAGGTATCTACTAGGAGTATTGAACGTGATTTGGATAATGATTTTTAATGAAGGTTGCAAAGACAATGCCCAATTTTTGCGATTCAGACAGTGGTCTTCACCTCGAAAAACCGCTTCAAATACAACACCTGGAACACCGAGTTCAGAATCACCACGATCAGCTGGATCGCGGACCAGTACTTAACACGCGAGTTAGTGGACTCGGCCGTATTTCTGTGTGTTCTTTCTCTGACCACCAAGTAGCCCTGCTCATTCTTGACGTCGTATACCAGCTCCAGCAGTTTCCTCACAGATCTGTCGAGGTTATCTGAACTAGGATCGTTCACGTCTACGTAAACAACTCCGTGCACGTTAAAAGTGACATCCTTGGTGGACAACGTGGATCTTTCGTTAGAAAAGCAGTACTCATATTTGCCTGCCTCCTTTGCTCTAATTGTGATTTCTCCGTGAGAAGCATCAGAAAGCTTTTCAAGCAATTGGCCAGAAGGAGACGAGATCTAAAAGTTCAGTTAGTACAATAATCGTAACCAGTCAATGGGATCCAACAGAATACATACCCAGAAATCCGCTTCCAGTTGCTCGGTAGCTTCAGCCACACGATTTCCAACCTGGAACGTCACACTTAACTCGTCGTTCGTCTTGAGGGTCTCGAAGAAACACTGCTTTCCTCTGGACGGAAGCACCACGTTGTGAGCGACAACAGTCCACACGCAAGAGAGTACTGTTAAAATACCTAGACTCAACTTCATGATTTTACAGGCCTGTTCAATGGAAAGATGGTCGTGGTCTTCTGTATCCCCAAAACAACTTGCTAGCTGTCCAAAATGTCAACGCGTCGATTCAGCGCGCACGACCTTCCAATTTGAGCTACGCACAACATTTCAGATCTCTATTTTACGCTCTAGGATATAAGCGAAACCGTGAGCATAATCACCGCTATAATATTAACCGTGGCAAGAGACACAGTTTGTTGAATAACTACACTTAACTTCAAAGATAAATGTTATTTTCAATGTATAAACATTATATGGTGGGCAAGCCCACCAACACCCTCCAACATTACAACTGTCTATGCGAGTGTGCTGGGCAATGCAGTACTAGTGCTCTTCTGTGAGACACACAACAATGCTCCAACGACAGAACACAAAAAAAGTGGTAACCTTTTCAACACCTCATTAAATCACCGGGTAATTTACTTCTTTCTGAAGGCACAACCCTCAGACAACTTGGCCTTACCACCGGTTGGGGAGCAGAGAACAGTTGTGCAGGAGTCACAGGTGACGGCAGTCTGGGCATGCGAGAAGACAGTGGTGATGTTCAAACAACCTGGACATCTGACGTCCATGAAGAACGAACGTGGTCCTTGGACCAAGGTCTTCAGCTTATGCTTCTTGAGCTCGGAGGCTGGGTTTGGGTTAAGCAAATCTTGAACGAGAACCTGGAAAATGGTTAGTAAAGTCACAGAATACAGGGGTATCGGCAAAGCATTATCATCTGTTGGCGGGAAAAACTGACAGAGGTCCACCTGAAAAGGGTCTTTTTTGGAGAAAACTTGCCACGTCGGTGTTTGTGCTGAAAATGACAGGTTTGGCTCAACTGGAGGGGGAAAGAGTCAAACCATAACGTTGGACGTATAATAGAAAGACCTCTTGAAAACGGCGTGTTGAAATCTTGTAGTCTTCTTGATGTTGATCTGACTGGTGGACGGTTCATGAGTCGTTTGGAGGCGGTCAACGTAGGAAGTGAAAAAGCGCCATAATAATATAATATTGCCATTTAATTGATACCATGATGATGATGTGAACTTTGCCGTTGTAAAAAAACTAATATAACATACCATGATGCGAATTTACCTTGTGTTAAGTTTGTCCTTGTAAAACAAAAGATACTAAAAAGTTTTCGTTGGAAATTTTCAAGGGGGGAGTCTCTCTCTCACACTCTGCCTTTGAAGGCTCTTATGTCAGCAAATTGCGCAAAGCTGATGTAAGAATTGGTTTGTCTGAGGCTGCCATCGGCAGCCCGGTTGATTTGGGCTCCCCATGTCAACATGATTTACGCTGATGGTATGCCATTTACACAAGCCATAATTACCACATTTGGATAGCATGCAGTGACTGTGTTTTTATAGATGGGCCCTTTTGGGTCTTAAATATGTTTCAGCCGTGTTCGTGTCTGGTTAACGATCAGTGCTTCAGTCAATTATATTGCTGGAAAGGATATGATGTACCTATTATACGAGTACTGTCCCATTCAGTGTCAATATAACCGGACAAATAGGCGCCATTTCGAAATGCTTCAGAGTGTTTCCTCTCTACTGAACGCTATGTAGTAAGCCAGATTTGAGCTCGCTGTTTGCAAGCTTCTTTCTACTTACAGTAGTAAACCGTAGTCACTGTCCTCAGCGGGCTGATCACAAGTTGCTTTTTGATTCACGATTTCTCAACGGTCCCACTGGTGGACATCATATCACCATCCAACGCACGATCGCGACCTGGATGCGGCTGCTGCGGCTTAGACAGAACCCCACACTACACAACTACGTTTCAATATGGAAAATATAACGTTTTGATTAATATGCTAGGAGTTGCAAGGATTCAAGGCGCTCTTGGAAACAATTGCTGGCCAAACACGGGACAGCAGGACAAAATTGATATTCATGAAGACAGCTCAACTGCATATGCTCTACCGGAATGCCATAGGGGAAAGAAGCGAAGGACCTGGAGCTCTAGGAAAACCGTAAAAACGATGTGTTTCAATTCAAAGCATAACGAACGGTGTCATCTAGTATAAATAGTATATTCACCATGATTTTTCCAGCTGGATCTCCAATATCTTCTGTCTTTCCATGCAGACTCAATCGTCGTTTGGGAGTCTCGATGGGTTCATCTATGCCTACTCAAACTTTCAGAGCGTTTCAGACCTTCTTGAACTTCTTTATCCCTATTTTGTCGCCTTCAATGGCTTTCTGGCAACAGGGGCAGTTTTGGCATTGGCAGCAGCACCGCCATACGCGGTGTACTTGGGCTTCTTCTCGGCAGGTTTCAGGATTTGGAATGAACACAGCAGACTCTCGTCTACGCTCATCATGGCACCCGCGTTATCAAACTCACCACAGTAGTTAGGCGCGCTGAAAAGAGTCACCAGTTGTCTTTTGCTGAAGAACTCGTATCCGTCCTCCACCACCTGGTGGGCTCTACAGATCAGATCCATGTCATGCTTCTGCAGGAATCGCGATACCACGTCGGGGCCAAAAGTGAACGACACACCTCTGTCGTTCTCGCTCCACCCTGTGATGTCCTTGTCTGGATCCGACCACAGCAGGTCGCAGAGCAATCCCACATCTGGGATATCGGTAGGTCTCATCACCCTTCTAATCTGCTCCATTGTGTTGAGATCAGGACTGAGTCCTCCATGCATGGTAAAGATCTTTTCGTCGATGATGGCAGCAATCGGCAGACAGTTGAAACAATCAGTAAACGTCTTCCACAGCTTGATATTGTAGCGCCTTTTGCACTCGTCATAGAATCCGTATATTCTGTTGATGGAGGCACACTCGTGGTTACCTCTCAGGATGAAGAAATTCTCAGGATACTTGATCTTGTACGCGAGCAGCAGACAGATTGTCTCCAGAGACTGCTTGCCCCTATCAACGTAATCACCCAAAAAGAGATAGTTTGCTTCGGGAGGAAAGGCTCCGTACTCAAATAGTCGTAGCAAGTCGTAGTATTGGCCATGGATGTCACCACAAATCTTTATTGGGGCCTCGAGTTCCAGCAGAATGGGCTGTTGGATGAAAATCTCCCTCGCTTTCGTGCAGAGATACCTGATTTCGAACTCCTGAAGCTGCACCTGTTTGCCAGGCCTGGAGCCTCTCACTTCTAGCAGTCTGTCAATAATCGACTCAATGTCGGCTTCTTGTTG